TAGCGTGGAAGGCTTCCACCATGAGCAATGACTCACACAGTGTGCCCGAGCCTTTACGGAGTACCTGAAATTTTTAACACGCTTTTATTAACTTGAGTTGTATGTATGTAACGGAATTTTTAAGCTTAATTTTCACCAGTTTTTAGAAGTTTGAATAATTTGAAATAATTTGAACTTTGCACAGGTATCAACGACTGATGGCAATACAATAATTTGATAACAGTTTAATAGACTACACTTCATATCTTTCTTCTCATAAATAGTTGCCAGTAGAATGATACAATCATACAATTACAAGCATCCCATGCTTTTTAAATTAAAATTATTTCTTTATCACAAAATATCTTTTTTTAATTTTTTAGCTAAAAAAGGGGGATTTTTTTTAGTTTTTTTAAACTATTATTCATTATATTATGACTAGCTTTTGAATTCCTTTTAAGTTACATAATTATAATAATCACCTCATCCGGTTCCAGGGGTATGATGGTGCAGAGAGCGAATATGAAAGGTTGTACATACTTCATATATAAGTAGTATGTAGCCACCGCATCTGACACTGAATAGTTTGACAACACCTGGAAAATATACAAACATTCAGGTTAAACCGAGTCAGAATATAGCCTATATCTGCTGAATAAAATTTCCTTTAAGTTGTTGATGTCAATACATATGTACTAATTAAATATTTGAAGATGTCACCAAATTATTGGTTATCAAAACGGTTTTGGGGAGATAACATCTGCTTATCATACCCTTGGAACATTAAATTAGTCTTATGCTCTGTTCTTACTTCTTACACCTGAATACGAATTTTTGTATCTTTCAAATATCTCAACACTTAATGCAACAACAATAAGGCATCTCTGCATAAACTTCATAACACCATAGTTTTAAATGGCGCAAGGCATCAACATGTATTAAAAATATTATTTATACATATTATATAATTACTGGATGTTCACCAAAGAATATCAATACCTAAACATTAATTTTCCTATATCCCTATTAATCAATTGAAACTGTTTTGTATCCAGAGTCTAACAAGAAACAAATATACAGGGTGACTGGTGAATTACTATCAATATTTAAGGAGAATACTCGGTACACGATTCTCATACGAATTGTGTAAAAAAAATAGATACTTAATTTTTGACAAAATTTCCGTTAAAATAAATAAAGTGTGGACACGTTCCAAGTGTTCCAAGTGTGGACGCGTGCGGCGGCGTGTTGATACAACACCACGCCGCCGCACGCGTGTGTGTGTATGTATACCTAATCTGTAGGGTGTTCACACGATGCGTAATTAATTACATAACTTTTGGTTAACTTTACTTAGAAGTTTATTAATATTTATGTTATATTAATTTTTATTTTGTCATATATGATCGTCAAATATCACGTCCTCAAGTATAGATAGTAATTCACCAGTCACCCTGTATATTTATGTATACATATAATTTATATTAATGTTGTGTTTAACCTGTGGTTGTTCAGAGGCCATCCTGCACATATCTTCAGGGTCCAATTCCACTGGGTCATATCTCAGCTTGGCCTTGGCGACAGCCTTCAGACCTTGAGACCCCACTGGCAGGTATGAATCTCTCTTCACCCAACTGTTAAATACAAATAAAGTATGATTCTCTGTGTTAATTGTTAAGAAATTATTCTAATGAAGCTACTTGCTTTGAAGTCATTTTAGTATACAAAATAAGGAACAAATTATTAAGTATTTCAAATGTTAATTACTTATATTTAATCATTTTTAAATCACCTAGTATGTTAAGACTTCTAAAACAATAATATATCATTCATCAACAACAGTGATTTGTATAAAAATTACTACAACATACATGTTTATACTTAATTTTATTACAGATACATGTTACAACACTTATAACACAATTTTGGTCACTACTCTTTTCGGATATTTCATAAAATTCTCTGCTTTTCCAAACTTAAAGCAAATAGGTTCTGTAATTTAGACATTAAATATAACAAAAAAAAGATTTTTTTACAAATTATTAAAAATAAAGATAAATCTTGCAATATAACTGTTCAATACTTATAGTCTCTAGTTATCATAATATTTACCACAAACAGTCCATGTGCATGGCTGGTCTGCAAGCATAAGTCCCATCTCTAGTAAGTCTACTGAATCCAATCTCTTGGCGCATATCCAACCCTAGTGCTGCAGCACGGGCCTCCACGAATGGCCAGTCAAAAAAGTCACCTATTCAGGAAGCATATATATATTAGTAAATTTTTCTGCTTGATTTAAAACCAAAATTCCAACAAAGGTCTTATAGCTTTATAGCTACTATAAAAAATCAGAATTACATACTCCCATTGTTTCGGTTACTTTGCAACAACTGTGATCGAAGGCAGATGAGATGTGTTAGTATATACATATATTACATAGTATGGGTTGCAGTATTATAAAAAACTTTCAGACTTGTTATTTGGTGATGTCAAATTTTATGACATTAATTACTTCTTCGATTAATAATAATGAGGTACCTAATACAAAATAAATAGTTTAAACTCACCATTGTAAGTGACAAATATGTGTGGTTTAATATCCATAATGTGATCAAAGAATTTTTGTAACAGGGCAAGTTCATTGGGCTCATTGAACACTATAAATTGCCTGAAAAAGGTTTAATTTATATTAATTATTTACATAAAATAAGGAATTCATTAAGTAATAATTATTAACTTAGATATATGAAGAAACAACTAAATAAGTTTATTTTTCTACATAACTGGCTGAGATATTATAAAAACAGCTTACCCTTCAAACTCAGGTTTAGGAGTGTATTCAAAATCTTCTACATCAGTGGATATAATTTCTCTATTAGTAATCAAATATCCTTGAGCATCTATCATATAAGATATCATCATTATCTGATCCGTCTGTGAGTCTGGGAACTTCAGCGGCAACTTTGTAGTCTCTATATCAAATGCCAGAACAATTGGGTCAGGTCTCTCAAGAATGTCATCACGTTTAGTAAATATTGGAGTGTCAGTTCCTCTGCTTTTAACAGTGTACCAGGTACCACAGAATATCTTCATGTCTATTGACACTCTTACGTGATACGGCACATCATGTTCTCTGTAAAATTATAAAACAGTAGAAATAGCAAACATACTTTAATAAATAATGCACAGATTAGTCATATATTAACCTTATGTCAATAATATTTTCCAAATGATCAGTAGTCTTCTTCGCATGTTCTATAGCAGCTGCATTCGTCAATACATTTGTCAACATTTCAGAGTAAATTGCATCCTTTTTCTCCCTTTCTTTACTTTTATTTGCCGCTGTTAATAATTCCTTTCTGACTTTCATCATCTCGTTTTGTGACATGAATGATAATTTAATGTATCTCTGTTTTATACCTGACAAATGATTAGGCTGAAACAATTAAATACAGTTGAATTCATAATTTCACAATATCCTACTAATATTATAATTGCAAAAGTTTGTGAGTGTGTGTATGTTTGTTACTTCTTCACACTCAAACGGCTGAACCGATTGTATACAAGAAACTAACGTCCAGGAATAAAACATAGGCTACTTTACATCCCGGAAATCCCAGATATCCGCGAGTAACACCGGGGGCGCAGCTAGTATATTCATTATTAAAATTTTTGTATCAAATCTTTACCAAATCCAAATCTTCCTTCTCCACTACTTCTATCTTGTGTATTGTTCCAGCAAACTTCTTAGATAAGTATTGTATAACTTCCTGTTCGCATTCCTTCCTAGCAAGAACAAGAAAATAAGGCTGGAACATAAGAGAAATTTTGAACCGAGATCCATCCATTTCAATGAAATAATAATCTACAGCTGCCACAAGCCTTTTGTCTTCATCCAATATTTCAGCCTACGAAAAGTTAGAAAAAAGTCAAATTATGTGTAATGTGTATTCTTTTTAGTAACATACTATAACTAATTGTTTTGCTCATATAAAAATTACGATTAGGTAATATGATTACTCTGTTATATTAATTTATATGTGTTTACTTACCGTATGCATATTTATTAAGTAACCTGTTCGTTCTTTAGTATCTCTAACTCTATCGAACCCATATTTAGAATCAATCTTATCGTTATCCAGGGCATTTCGCAATCGTGATTCAGATGATTCTTCCCTACAACATAATTTCTATTAGAAATGTATTTATAAATTAATTCACTTCTACACCAGATAAAGCTCCTAACAAACCTGGGTGCAGAAGATGTCCCCGGATCTCTTTTATTGGAATCATTTTTATCTGACCTGTATTTACCAGTATTTTGGAGAACCATTTTCCACTAATAATCGGCCATTAATACGATTACAGTAAAGAAATGGATAAATAGGTAATTTATTTATTATTTTTTGTTTCAAAACTTAAAGCAAAGCTGTTAAACAGTAATCAGCTGTTTTATTTGCTAATGTCATATTTTCGCGCCAGTTTTGTAGAATGTTATACAGTTTAAAAATATAAAAATAACGAACTTTATACTTAATTTATAATACACTGTAAAGATAAGTTATATATTATACATTTATACCAAATATTTAAAGTAAATGTAACTTTTATTAAAGTAATTTTTTTGTTCTATAAATATAAAGTGAATAGATACATACACGTTTTATGTTATGAGTAAGTAATCAATTTAGCCATTCTAGAATCCACAATATTTCTTGGTTGTAAATTAACACTATTACTTTATAAGAAATTTGAAACTTGAAAGCTGTAAATTAAATAATTTTATTAAAAAAATACATTAAATTAAAGTTTCAGAATGTCACGGTAAATTTTTTTGTCAAAGGTTTTTGTTGACAAACGTTAAATTGACAACTCTATATGTGATAACTGTAATGTAACCTAAGCTTAAAGTTGCAACTTCAAACTACCTGTAACCTGTAGTTCTCTCTAGTATAAGTAATTAAGTGGCTGTTGATAAAATCGAAATGAATATTTAGGGTAGTAAAAGCAAGAATATCAATATGGAAGACTCAAGCTTTAATTCGTATGATTTATCTGATTTATCTCGAAGTATTTACAAAAATGGTAGTATCAACTTATCAATAACGGCAGATTTTGAAAAGATGCGAATATCTGCTCTTACTAGAGCTGCTGAAATCAGTCCACACGTAACAGAAGTTACTATTGGCCCAAAAAGTCCAAAGAAGAAAGAAAAATCTAAAGTAAACCAAGATTTGGTCCCTGATTCAAAAGAAATGTTTAATCTATTAGAAGACAAATTAGGCGAGGATCTCCGATACACATTAATACTTAAAAAGTATGAAAACGAATTAAAGGAAACATCTGAAAACCTTGTTAAGAACCTTATTGAAAATATGGTCACCACTTATTCTGAAACCATGAAGAAATATGTAAAGAAGCATAATGAAGAATGTAAACGAAAACTATTGGAACTTAGAGCTAAAAAACTGCAAATGGCTAAACTTTTAAGAGACAATGATAATGTTTTAGTATTAGAAAAAGCTAAGCTGGATGAGAAGCAATGTGAAATGATAAACCAACAAACATTAGATAATATGAACAGAGTGTTAGAGGAACAGAAGAAAGCTGCAATAGTTGATAGTCACTTAAAAATAGGCATCCATTACAATGATATATCAAATCTTGCCAATTCAGAACCACTAGCAAACGAAATTTTAGAAAAATATATACACTCGATAAACTCAGTTATTGCAAACATCAATTCATTAATGACTCTATGTAAAACGGGACCCGTAACTGATAAAGAGGTAAAGCAATCTGAAATTTTGGCGGCAAACCTCGAAAATTTAAAGAACAAATTTGTCAATGAAGTAGAAAAGACTAAAGAGGAAGTTATGATAAAAAAACAAAAGGAACAAGAATTATTATTAGAAAAGCAAAAAGAAGAAGAGGCTAAACGGAAACAGTTAGAAGAAAAAAGGGCTCAAGAATTAAAAGCAGCTGAGGAAGCTAAAATTCAACAAGCTCTTCTAGATCAATCTAAAAGGGCACAGTCCATGTTTTATTCAGAGAAAAATTATGCACACTACACGGAGTTAAGGGACTTTCTTGACAAGTATGAAAATTCATACAAAGATTTGCTACAAGACAATAATTGTAAAAAGTTCAGATTTGATTGCCAGAAAGCCGTGAACACACCTGTTAATGCACTTTCATCTGTGAGTGGTGTACACATGAGAGACAAGTTTGATAAACTATCGAAGCTTCTTAGAGGGGAAAGAGTTCAAGTTTTGGACACATTTGTCACAGCCACTCAGCACCCACAAGGATTACCATATTGCACAGCTCTGTTGGCAAAGAAGATTGTGAGGCAAGGAGACCTTTTGGTCTCAAGTAATCCCGATGCTGCTTTTCCTTTGGCCGCTGTAACTGTTGCTTTGTGGTCTCAGTTCCCAGAATTTGGTAAACTACTTGAAGCTTACTTCCATAGATTCTGTCCCTATTTAGTGCCAATGCTTCTCCCTCAGAAGGAAGGTCAAACTGACAAAGAGTTTTATATATCTCGAGGATATACCTATAATGATGAAGGTGTTGTTGAAAAACAGGATAAATTCTTGAGAAGAATGTCGGGTATATTCAGGCTTAGATGTGCTATGTGGATAACAAGTACACCGAGATTCCTGAATGTTTCCAATCCAAATGGAATGGGATTTTCTTGGAGATGGCTGGCTTCTTTCATCAATCTTAAGCCCGAGCCAGACATAAGTGCAACATTACTGCATGACTTTTTCATAGTTTGCGGTTCAAAATTTTTAAAGTTGTATGGCAAACAGTGTGTGAAAATAATAAAATTGTTAAGCACAGAATATTTAAGTATATTACAAAATATTGATGAAGGTGGACCCAAGACAAGATTAGAAGTTTTTCTACAGAATGTCATAAAATCAGGTCACATAGAACCCCCAAGTGGAATACTACCACCCAATATTTGGTAAAAAACCAATTAATCATAATTTATTGTTTGAATGTAATCCAATAATGATGATTTAACAATTAAAATTAAAACAATGATTTGGACATAATGTTGTTTCTTTTTTAACTCTATATTAATGATATAATAAGTTTGCCAATTAAATTACTAAATATAAATAATTAATTTGTGTTTAAAGAAAATATGTTTTCTCATAAACTTCCTTTCTTAATTATTACTAAAAAAGAATTTAACTAAAGAGTATTTTTACATTTCTTGTAGAGAAATTAGTTTTAATAAATATTCTGTTTTATATTTTTTTTATTGAGAAAGCTAAAGTAGACCTTTATTATTTTTACGTTCCAAGTAATCTAACAATTGACCTAGCATATTTGAAGATAGATTTTACCTAGTATATCTAGAGCAGCCTTTCTCAAAGTGATAACACCCCCTTGTGGAGGCTGCAGGCCCAAAGGAAGACAGAAATTAGCCCAAAAAAAAATGGGGTTGTTGTGTGTAGGCTATATAGCTCACAATAACTAATTAATATAATTTAAACTTATAATGGATTTTCAGTAGCTGAAAAAAATGAAGGTGCTAAAAAATTATTTACTCTCAAAGTGGGCAGTAGACAAGATATTTTTTGTAAACTTCTATTCTAGTGCTACTAAAATATATAACAACTGAATTCCATAATTTACTTAAGTACCTAATTATTATATAGGTGTATGACCTTTGTATTTGCAAAAAATATGATATAAAATATGATGTCTTGTTAAGGCGTTTGATGGACTGTTAGATGTAAATAAAACACTCCTATATTAATTCATAGTAATAAGAAATTTGATGTTAAAATACTAAGTGGTAAATTTTAAAATAAAGAGTTTATTATATAGTTTGTTATATTCTTATGAAAAAAGAAGTATTTAGAAAATATTTCCACTTAATTGTGAATGAAGATTTTGAATCACATTTACTCTACAGAAAGTATTGAATTATGAAGTAAAAAGCAAAAGTAATTATTGCCACATTCGGCATCTCTAACCGTTTCACAAATTTTACTTTTGTGTGGTGTAAGTAGTAACTGAATTTAAATAAGCAAAATTTCAATGATTATGTGGAAATGTTGCCTACTATTGTTTTACCAGCCTTTTAATAATAATTTATAAAGCAATCTATATATTATGTATCTTAAAAAAATACGATAATCAGTAATTTTAAAACTTTAATTTCATAATATTTTGTGATTGTATATAGATATTTATGGCAGGGATGTAGTTGTCTATAGTTATTTTATTTTTTAGCGATAAAATTCTGATTTAAAAAAAAATATTTATGTAAAAATATTTCTTTTTAACGTATTATTTTGGAAAGTTATCTGTCGTGTCATTGATTGCAGCTTTACAATTAGACAGCTGAGTGAGTATCGTCGCGGGACCACACAATTATGTATCTGGCTTCATAATACTCAAAAACATTGATCAACTACTACCTACCTATTACAGATTGTACAAAATATACGTGCGTTTGACATTTCATCGTCTGCTGCTGTCTGCTACTTTATTATTGAAGAATTATTTTTATGAAGTAATCAGAAAGAACAATGTAGATCTCCGATGTTAAATAAAAACTGATGCATTTAATTTGTCTGATATGTTGTGTACTTAAATGCTGTATTAACATATAATCTGATATAAGAAGATCTTGAAAAATGGGGACAAATAGCTTTGACGATAAGTACTTTATGGCGAGGAATTCCGCATATAATCCGTACTGGCTAACTCGAAGAGAAATCGGGTTCAATAGGCCTGTGGGATCTGGTAATGCGCTGGCTCGTAGCCTCTATTGTGGTATGAAACCAATAGCTTCTTGGGATTGTGAACAAGCTAACTCTCTTCCCACCGGTGGCGTTTTCAACCTTGAATTTTCCCCGGAAGGGTACGTACAGTGATTAGTTTGTAAATTTACGATAGGACAGCCTTGGAACTGTTTATTCTTAAAAATATAAATTTTATTTCATTAAATCAAACCACTACATTTTCAAACACAAGAAAATCTTGCATTCCAACAGAAAGTTTAATAAAAAAGGACTTGTTATAAATAATATATATGCTTCATTTGACTATGTAATTTTTTTGATTACAGTAAGTTTTTTTAGGTGAAAAAAATATTTTACATTTAACCTGTCACAAAATGTGAATAGATTTAGTAAGACATTATTTGATGATATTACTATTTAAACTCTTGTTATTTTTTCCAGATCTCTTCTAGTGGCAGCTTGTGAAAAGAAATCAATACAAATCTTTGATCCACTGACACACCAACGGATATACTCTGTTATTGGAGCCCACTCGGACTGTGTAAATTGTGTTAAGTATGTCATTGAAATTAAGAAAATTGAAGTTTTAGAAAATAAAATAAAGCTGTTATGATTTGTTGTCCTTCAGATTTCTTGATGGAAGAATGTTTGCGACTTGCTCTGACGATACCACAATTGCTTTATGGGATGTGAGAAATTTAAAAAAGAAGATAAGATCCCTATTGGGGCATTCAAATTGGGTTAAGAATATAGAATTTTCTGTGAAAGATAAACTACTAGTCACATCGGGTTTGGACGGGAGTATATATACGTGGGACATAAACTCGTATACTGAATTCAATCTGGTTTACCAAAGAGTATTCCATGCCTCTGGTTTAATGAGGTGTCGCCTGTCACCGGATGCGAGGCAAATGGTGATGTGTACTACTGGAGGACTCTTAGTTATAATACATGATTTAAATTTGACAACTTTAGCCCAAGACCTACATGGCTTTAAGGTTAGTATTTTTGTTTATTGAAACATTTTTTAAATAATCTTGATAAAATACTCCTAAAAATAAGACTCATGCCTAGCAACTTTTAAAGAAAAAAAAAAAATTATATAGTTCTATTCAGCCATTCTCCAAGGTGTCACACTATTGTGCTTTTTTTAATCACTATAAGGAAGTGAGTGTTTTTTAAATAGTTATAAGGAAGTGAGATGTGATAAATTGCACGATTAAAGGTCATTCACTGTTCAACAAAAAAGCTTTCTATAATCTGTATTACATTTTAATTTGATTTGACATTTATTTATATATATTTTAGTCATTAAGAATATATTTTATTTCTAGCCTAACCTATACAGACTGATGCAAATGAGCCAACAAGTGATACCGATAGCGGCTATGTATGATCACTTGTTTGATCTTGAACGCAAGGAGAATAGAGTCGAATTTGTGTCCGATTTTCCTGATGGCAATGATGCAGAGGTTGTCAGTGCTTTACAGGTAAATACAGATTATATAATTATTGTTTTCATGGCCGTATATCTTATATGTGACCTGTTTACAGATTCACCCTCAAGGTTGGTGTGCATTAAGCCGTAATATCAGTCATGATGATAGGTCAGAGGTATGTAATAATATTTTTGTTTTTTTTTTTTAATAATAATATTATAAATTAGGTGTAACTGTAAAATTTGTAATATTCTACTTTTTATTTTTGTGTATATATCTATTTTGAAAAGTTCTAAGTCCTAACAACACATAATTCTTTGATGTTTGAGTGAAATGAATTCTGAAATACTCTGTACATGTACTTTCACTAAAAACATTACACAAATTTTATTAATGTAGAAAAAAGAGTAATAAATTAAGATCATAAAAAATTACGCAAAAGTCCAATAGTTTAGTGCCTATGGCTTTGGTCATATCACATATGTATAATTGTTATATGAAAGTTAAAATTATTATCATCGTAACTATTGATACTGTATGTGAATAAAAAAATAACAGTTTGTACAAAATCCAAGAAAAGTGAAGTATTGAAATGCTTAATAATTCTTTTCATATATAAATAAAATCATAGATTTTATAACAACAACATGTCATGAAAGAAATTCTAGTTATTTTTTCAAATCGTTAAGATTACAGACGCGTTTTAAGCAATCTTTTCGATAGCTTTTATGTTCTTCAAGTAAAAAATATATAAATTCTTAATCCATATGAAAATTGTAAATAGGGGTTCATTTAAGTAATAAAAAAATTATAATTTTTGGGTTTCATGATAGACGCAGAAATTAATAGTAATTTTAGTGTAGATTTTATCAAAAATGTCAGTTTAGAAGAAAAAAGATAAGAAGAATAAAAACATCATATGATCGCGATGGGACCCTAGCGAACGCCCGATATTTGACAAAACCACGTTAAATGGAACTGTTGCTAAATATCCTGTAAAATATCTTTATATAGAGTGTTGTGTATTCTTTCACGTACATTGAAATACATTCGTGGAATATAAGAAACAAAGTTAAATGTTTCAATGAGCCGTTTACTTCAAGGACATACATATTGTTGGCACTTACAAAGTTTTGTCAATTATTAGTTAAATAGTGCAAAAATAACGGAAGAAACTTATTTCTTATCCCAGAACATGTTCGTGTTACAGAGTTATCATCTAAATCTTGTATCCTGGTTTTTTTGTAGGATGATTGTCCTAAAAGAAAAAAATAATCGTACCTTTTTTTTTAATGAAAAAAAAAGAACAGTACAATCGGCTAATATATAGGGAAGAGATTGTTACCTTGAAGTTCTTCATACAAAAAAATATTAATCAATTTTAAAATAAGAATCCATAAAAATTGCTAATTTCTTACATTTTCCAATTTAGCTAAAATTTTGCAAAAACGACTAAGACAGTCTTTTGCAAAATTTTAGCAAAATTGGGTCGATGTGGGGATATTTGTTTCATTTTACATCATCTAATTATAAGGCTAGTAAACCAAACGAAAGAAAATAGAATCAGAAATCAAACCTACAGCTGTTAAATAAATGATAATATGCTTTTTGATTGACTCAAGTGAAAGCCCTTTAGCTCAGTTAGTAAAATAGTTCAAATTATTACGGAGATTAAATGTTCGAATTTTACTAATCATCATAATACCGCTAAATAGCTTTAACGTTAAAGCATAATTATACGAAGAAGCACTATTAAAATTTCAGTGGTCCTGCATACACGACATTCAGCCCGGTGAGAGTATAACGAATAAGAGTTGTAGAGACACGTCCCCGTCACCACCGGCGCCGCCCCGTAGGCCTGCGCCCCGGAGGCCTAAGAGGGTCCGCACTCGGCCCTACAGACACCTACGACCCATGACGAGCATCACCACCCAGGGCGATACACCGTGAGTATTAAATTTTATTGTTATCTCCAAGGATATGCCAAAGTAAGTAGTTTTAAACAGTTCTTACATGACCAGATGAGAGGTGAGCTTTATCATATATAATCATCAGCCTATCAGAGCCCACTGCTGAGCAAAGGCCTCATCTCACATGGAGAAGGTTAGAGCATTAATCACCACTCTCGCTCAGGACGGGTTGGTGATTTCAAACTTATAATTTGAAATTATAAGTCCAGGTTTCCTCACGATATTTTCCATCACCATGGGCTAATGGTGTCTAAATATTCTTAGAAAGTACATATGACTTCGAAAAATCACATTCGAACTCGCCAGGTTTCGAACCTGTTCCCTCATGCACGAGAGGCAGGCTTTTAACTAGGTCACCACGATTATCATATGTAATTGGTCTGTTCCGAATACATGTGGGTATCCATTTCATACATACTCTTTGAACAGGAAATTGCTGCACACAGTACATTAACATGTATCATATATATATAATTACATATGTTAATTCTTCACAACCCCTCCAGCGCTTCGTCTTCCAGGCCTCGTGAGTCCTCGGACTCGGAGGCCGGGCCCAGCCGGGAGGCGGCGCCCGCGAGACTCCCTCCACCGGTGAGTTGATGAAACTGTACTGTGAGCGTTATACGATACAATGTCTAACATGCAGTCATATTAACAAAAATACTTAATCCGCATACAAATTAATTGTCATTCAAAAGTTTTACCATATTAGGCCAATGATTAATTTTGTTTGGAAATTCGTTAACATTTTTTTCTTCCTACCCTCTAGAATATTTATAAAGTTTTTCTGTAGAGTTGACAGTGTTCTAATGATTTAAAGCGATAAAATGCTGTAAAATTAAAAACAGCTGTTATGATATCGTTATATGTAATTAACGCGGAGAATTTATTTTCATGTCCAGAATCTATCGAGTATACAAAATGACGTGTGGGAGGCGTCTATAACGATCAAACAGCACCGAATACTGCAAGAAATGTATAGCAGGTAAAGACATTTTATACGAAGCAGTTTAAACTATATATTCATATATGACATTTATGACTCTGCCTTAATATTACTAAATGTATAATTGCTCACGTTAACAGAATTCATCAACTCTATTAAACGGTGTTAGTTCTTTAGTAAGTAAGTATGTATTATTATTTGTGCGAGTAGGGGCCAGGTTGGGCGTAACTTCAACATGCAGCGCATCATGGGCATCAATACTGGCATCACTCCTCCGGGCGCGGTCCGCAGGCCAGCTCGTCCCGCGAGACTCCTGCCGCGGCTGCACGCATCACCTGTCCCTCTCGCACCCACACCCGACAGGTAGAAGAGATCTTGCATCTCGCTCTAATTTAAACATTCAACAAAATATCGTAAGAAATTTGTCTGGACGCCACACAAAAGGTACTATCATTCATCTCATGCTGACTTGGATACATCGTACTTGGTAATGTGTCATCACTCTTGCATATACAGGTAGTAATTTCTTGATTTAACTATTTGAGGGTAGAATGTCTTCTATTTAATTTTTAGACATGTAAGGGGCTGTCCATTAATCACGTGAGGCTTGAAAGGGGGGGGAGGGGTTTGTAAAAAATCACGAAAATAACACAAGGGGGAGGGGGGTGTAGTAAGATATCTCGTGTATTTTTTTTCGTCTAACGCGCGATTTTTAAACAAATATTAATTTATTATGGTCCTTAATTTCAGAATAAAATAAGATTATAGTTTATCCCTACTAATATTATAAATGCGAAAGTAACTCTGTCTGTCTGTCTGCTACGCTTTCACGCCTAAACCACTGAACTGATTTTAATGAAATTCGGTACAGAGATAGAGTTGACCTTGAGAAAGAACATAGGATAGTTTTTATCCCAGACTTTTGAAAGGTTCTCTTGGAAACGCGATATAACCGAACTCCACGCGGCGAAGCTGCGGGCGGAAAGCTAGTACCTGTATTTAAATTAAGATAATATTCAGAAAATTTTAAGATTCGTTGTAGGTACTAAAAATACACGTGATGTTGAAAAGGGGGAGGGGGGGTGGTCTTAAACCTCACTACGTATCACCAATGGGGGCGGGGGGGTTAAAAAATGCTAAAAAAAGATCACGTGATTAATGGACAACCCCTAAGTTCTCATAGCTCGCTTGTACAGTTCATAATAATGCCTTACAAATTACAATTAACATTCAACCATTCATCAAAGAAACTAAAAAAGTAAGGTAAGATATACAATTTCTCCTTAGTTTCAACTTTGAAGATTAAGTACATTAGATAATACCTAGTAGATTAGGGTACAATAATAGAAAATATTTTTTTATAACATATAATATAGTAGTAGTATAATTATGACATTAAATCCTGTGTTTACTATGAGTCTAAACTAGTTTCCTTTCCCCAGTGTCCTCCCCTCCACATCCGGTCAGACGCCACTCCGGGACTTGTATGATGACGAATTCAAACACTTCATAAGACAAAACAGAGACAGATTACTATACTACATAGAGGAGACGAACGAAGGCAAAGGATTTATAAAGGTATTATTTATAAATATTACAGTTATTTGTGATCTTGATTTTATAGTTAAACTCTTCACAAGATAATAGTTAAAGCACAAATGGAAGAATCAGTTTATATTTACAAATAACATGGGTTAAAATAATTATATACGTATTTATAATTTTGGGTTTAATATTTTTAATAGATTTTAAGAAAAAGTCAATACAAAAAAAAAACGTTTTTATATATCGTACTACAATTCTAGATAACTTTTCTTCAGGAACTATGTTTTTCTGCTGACGGTCGCCTGGTGTGTTCGCCTTTCGGTCGAGGCATGCGTCTGTTAGCACTCAACGAGCAGTGCGCGGAGTTGTCCCACTGCGTTCAGGATTTCAAGGGTCCATCTCGTATGGTGGATGTGGGACAAAGCCTCGGCTTCCATCACGACCTCGTGGTCAGCTCCAAGTTCAGTCCCCGACACCACTCCCTCGTCACCGGCTGCCTCGAAGGAAAGATCGTCTGGTATGAACCCTACAGCGGCGAATCCTGCTACTAGATACTTAATAAAATAAATGTTCATACACAGATTTTCATTCCAAACTGTTTGTATGATAGTGTTCATTTTATAATTTTATTCAAATTTTAATTGTTATATCTTAATTTTAACCGAAATAGCATTGAGTGTGGTAGTTTTGTTTTATTCTTAGGTTTTGTTCCCAACCTGGCACGGTTTCATTAATATCAATGTTAGCATTGTAGAAATATTGTGCAAATGTATATAAATAGACCTTCATGATCTCTTATAAACTGTACATAATTTTTGTGTTATATTATTTGTGATTCCGACTTAGATAATCACTTTGTAGACAAAGAAACTAGATAGGATTATAATTTTTAAGACTGTAAGCAATTTAAATTATTATCAGAAAAAAAATAAAATATATTTTCAACATGATAGTGTATTCAACAAATTTACATTATTATCTACTTAAACTCTGGATGCATGTACAAGTTTATTCATCAATAAAGATTACAAATACTAGGTTTCTTTAAACGTGGCCCCCTTCCTTGAGCTTGGCAACGAGTGTGTCAACGTCTGGTACAATAGACCCAGCCTGTCTCACTGGAGGGTCTTCAACACTAAGTATCTTTATCCTGGGAGCTAAGTCCACACCGAGATCCTTAGCTGAAACTTTCTTCATAGGCTTCTTTTTTGCTTTCTGAAATATATGTAATGGTCGGTAAAATTTTAACCCACAGAAAAAAATATAGCTAAAAGCTGTGATAATAAAATATAAGTGCACTATCATTACTTAAAATGTGTTTGACATTGAAATTATTAAGAAAATTTATGTGATTTGTTTGTAATGTGTAAAATATAGTCAAATAAATATTACCATAATATTTGGTAGTGTGGCATATCTGGGCTCGTTGAGACGAAGATCAGCACTGATGACGGCTGGTAGCTTGGTCTTAATGACTTCCAGACCACCATCGATCTCACGAGTCACAGTCAAACCAGAGTCGCTCTTCTCTACCTATACAATACAGATAAAATGAATATACTAAACTAGTAGGTTTTCAATGTTTTTGATATCGCGACCCCTTTATGGGTTGAAAAATTTTGCCGACCCCCTTGTGCCACAGACAGGCAAGGAAATTCTTAAATTAAAAGACTAAGTTAAAGTTACAGACATTCTCTGCAATTGTGGACTTCAAATAAAAAAAAAGAGAAAAAAAATTCAATTACAAGTGGATTTGATAGTTAGTATTTCAAAAATAGCACCACCACATGACATACTTTTGTAAAAAAAACAAGCCCATCCTTCTCATCCAGATCTGGTTTTTATTATAGTGTAGAACTTTATTTTTGCCGGCGATCCCCCCCCCTCACATCAGGTCTTCGCAACCCACAGATTAAAAAACACTACAAAACCGATGTTAATTATCATAATACATAATAATATTTAAAATGAAAATTTGTAGGCTCTATCTTTATATAACTTTATCTTTATATTTGAGATAAAATTGTTATGCCATTGTTACACCATTTACTCTTATCTGAAAAGGTTATCTTACAAATATTATTTACTTTTTTATTAAGAAGCAATGTTCATAGAAACAATATGGTCAAAAAAATTATATATTTTATTAAAATTCAATATGATAACGGTGTCTTTAAACCCAATACATATATATTGTAATAGGTTGAGTTATTACAATTATAAACAGTATAGTAGAATAAAATAAAATATTTTTACCCATTTATGTAATGTATTAAATATTGCTTTATATCTCAAGTTTTAAATTATTAAATGACAATTATTCCAATCATACTAATAGAACCAAAATAATCAACAGTACTTTAAATTTAATTGGAACATTCACAACTTACCTTGGAAGCAAAGGTTCCTTGAGGCCAGTCCAGAATCGCGGCAGTCATTTGTGCTGTTTGGTTTGAGTCATCATCAATTGCCTAAAAATCAAGCCATTATTTTCATAAATTGTTTCCAACTATCCAATATTTAAGACGAATATCATTTTTACCTGTTTTCCTACTATGACAATGTCAGCCTTCTCATCCTGTGAGAGTTTAGCTAGAATCTTTGCAACATGGAGCGGCTGCAAGGTTTCATACTCAGGTCCAGCAACTTCAACATGGATAGCTCGATCGGCACCCATAGCTAGTGCTGTTCTTAGAGTTTCCTGATAAGAATATAAGCTTACTGTTACAGTATGTTTGTATAGAGATGCAAAAAAATTGAGTACTATTTTATACACAAGTTTATTGATTTATTGCAAATGATTATCTGTAAATAGTGAATTGATTGTGGTCTACAAGTTTCTAATATGATGAAGACTGATTTCATGATTGACATTGCTGAATTATAGAACTAAATCTTAGCTTACTTGCTTACATTATGGGAAGAAATAAATAGTTGACGAAAATACGTTTCAAACGTAAGTTTGAAGAATCCAACAATGTGTGTATGACATACTTTACTGATGAAAGCATATTACATAGCTTGTTTAAAACTCTACCTGGGCTTGAGTAGGACCACAGGATACTGCAATGACTTCACTAGCCAACTTTTTCTCCTTCATCCTAACAGCTTCTTCCACTGCAATCTCATCAAAAGGATTCATTGAGTGCTTCACCCCATCTGTGACTACTCCAGACTTGTCAGGCTTTACACGGATCTGAATTATATGAATATGAGCTTGAAAATTTGGTAATTCTTTTTAATTTCTCGAAAATATACTTAATGTTTATTTATTTGTTGAATGAAAGAAATTTCCATTACGAAAGTCGTAACCTTTGTCCTCAACAAAAACTTACCTTGACTGCATAATCAATAACTCTCTTAACACCTACTAATACACGAGCCATGATGTATAAAATATAATTTTATAAAAATATAATATAAAAACCAAAAAAAAAAACTGCTATAACGTTTTATTCCAACAGTACGAAGTCCAACAAAGTTCTTATTTTTTTTATGACATTTGACAATTTACAGTAATGTTTTGGATTGCAGTCTTATGGATATGATTATTTTAAGAATTTTTTATATTTTTAAGAGTGCTTTAAAATTTATAATTCTTTAAATAATAGAAACTGTGTACAGCGAATTTTGAGTTTGACTTTCTTACTTATTAGCAAAACTTGACTTTCTTTAACTTATAGGTACACCGTACAAGTAACATGATTGTAATTTTTCGTCGTCTAGATGTTTTCAAGAAAAAAATATTGTACACTCTCTTTTCTCTGAACCTGTTTATTTGTGTCCATGCTCCAATGAAACGTGTATGAGTTAGGCATCTTCCTACACCCTGACTTACTTCAACAATTAAATCTTAAATCGTTAAATGGGATAAAGCCAAACGATAATTCAGAAGGGATCAATAATTTCATAACCATGTTGCCTACAACAATCTCTGTAATAGAAAGTCGGGATGCAAAACGTCGCTATATTTTCTCCTCAAGTATTTGCAATACTTTAAGTACACAAATGTAGAGCTTTCTTAACTTATTAGATATGGGTAAGGGTCCGATCAAGTATTACGTAAGCACTATGAAGGGGCGGGGGGGTCTTTGTTTTGCTTATTATGGGTGACATGGGGGGTTGGGGAGTCTAGGTATCGATTACGTCATCGGTAGTTATTTAGTTTTAATCGTCACATCGAGTAGATCCATAAAAAATACAATTATATTTTTTTTCTGGACTTATATAAAAAAAAAATATAGTAATTGAAAATGTTTACATAAGCATGCATGTAAGCATGTAAGGGTAAGAGCTTTGCTTACCTTTGCTGACAAGGGGGATGGGGGGGGGTAAATAATTGTAATAAATCTGCTTACGTTATACTTGAACGGCCCCTTATCATCCCAACTGTAAATAATTTCTATAAATGTTAACTTAAATGAATTGATTATTACTACAATCCAATGATTTTCGTAAATCAGAAACATTTCCTTGAGCCTGGAAGTCGTCTTACATTATCCCGCTACTACCAAAGGCCACTATGCCATCTCACTTTAGACCTACCTATCCTATATCTGTTGTTCCTATCCTTTCTAAAGTTCTTGAAAATATTATCCATAAAAATCTTTCTGACTGCCTTAGCCCCTTTCAATCCGGACTTCGACCCCACCAAGTTAGCACAATTCTGCTTTACTGAAAGTTACAGATGCTGATTAGTACGCTACAACGAAGAACTAACCGTATTAGTGCTATCTAAGCGCACGGTAGTGCGCCGGCCAAGTTCCACAGGCCGGCGCATGCCGTGCACTATATTTACACGAACCGTTTCGACCCACTTTTGACCCCCCTGTAGCTCAGTGCCTATTGCAAGTACAGAGATAAAATTATACCTACGTAATCATATACTAGAACTAAAGCAGTATGCCAAATTTCATAGATAAAGCTTCAGTAGATCCTGAAATATGACTCTGTGAAAATTGCTAATTTTGGCACTGACTCACTGACAGGTAATCAAAACCTCTAGGCCACTTCCCATTGTTTTAGCATTATGAAATTTGGTACACAGGTTGTGTGTTATATGTAGATTTAACAAAAAATTTATAAATTTAAGAAATCGGTCAAGCGTGAGTTGCCTCAATTCTAAATATCGAATTTTTAATAAATTCGACCCACTTTTGACCCCCTGTAGCTCAGTGCCTATTGCAAGTACAGAGATAAAATTGTACCTACGTAATCATATACTAGTACTAAAGCAGTATGCCATATTTCATAGATAAAGCTTCAGTAGATCCTGAAATATGAGCCTGTGAAAATAGCTAATTTTGGCACTGACTCACTGACAGGTAATCAAAACCTTTATATAGGCGCTCAGCTCAGCACAATAAAATACATAATAATGAAATATTAATAATTAATAATATGAGTACATCTATCAATCGGTGATAAATGAAACTAAAAAATAAAAAATAAATATAGTTTAAAAAAAAACTAAAAAACACGCTCCAATGATGAAAGAAACCGCGTGTAAACTAATTTAACCTTTACAACCTTGGAAATCAATTTAATTTAAATTGTTTAAAATAAACAGTAAATGGTATTATTGAAAAAAAAGCGTGGGGCGCTTCTCAAGAAGTGATATATGAAGCTCATCACGCTTTTTTTTCACAAAAATACCATTTATTGTTTGTTAATTTATTTTTAAATTAATATTATTGTGAAAAAAGTGTGGGGCGCTTCTTAAGAACTATATATATATATATATATATATATATATATATATATATATATATATATATATATATATATATATATATATATATATATATATAAGGGATATAAAATATTGTCATGTATACATAATTCACACTGTATAACTTAATTAAATATTGATTACCTAAAAAATCAGGTTTCTATTGTTATAAATTACTTTCGATAGATGGGGCTAGCGGTATAATTGAATCGCGATATTGTTTTGTCTGCAGTATATATGAATGAAAGTCGATAAGGAATCGATGGTCATTTCTTTCTATTTCTTTCTACACTTATGTCTTGATATCTTATATATGGTTACGATTAGGATTAAATGGATCACTGATTTGACTTGCTAAAGGATTAATTTTGATATTGCTTATTGATTGATTACTTGTGTGTGTTAAAAGCACAAATTCACTCTATTTATTTTCTACTATTCATTTACCAACGATGGAAATTGTATATCTTTCGGTGGTTGGCGGAGATATACCACATAGGGTAATTCCTATGCCATCAGATGGTAGCTGTATGTTCATGCTGTAAGTTATGCATTGTACGATTGTATGTACGATTTCTTGAAAAAAAGTATTGAAATCTCACCAAAAACATGCCTGTTAAAAAGGGGGCCAAGTTCCAATCTTCTAATTGTTTGCCTAAAAAAGGGGTGAAATCCAATCTAATGCCAAGTTTAGATGCACTTTGAAATCGATCATTATCATCTTCATCAACAGCATGATCCACTGGTAAACATTTGCCATTCCCAAGACTCGCCACCACACCCAGTCCTCTGCCTTCCACATCCAGCCACTACCCGCCACCTTATTCACGTCAACGGTCCATCTGGCCGAAATTCACTTTACCATACACCCAAGTTAATTTAATTATTTAAATTATATAAATATAAATAATTATATAACTAAATAATAAATTAATGATACAATTAATTAAGTGTTACATACAGCACGAAAACCTGCCAAGTTCAAATTGAGAAGTATTGTAATTTTAGATATTTTTAACCAAGCACCTACGTATTTTCACAACTATACCATATTTTAAGTTATACCATATTTTAAGTAAATTCTCTAGATATGCCTCCCTTTAAAACATTTTTTTTGTAAGTAATTTTCTGTCAACAAAGAGAGTTCACGTGCAGTTTATTTAAGCATCGGCTTAAGAGACAACTTCTCTCACTATTATGATACTTCGTAGTAAATTGATATGTTAATAAGCATGTATGGTTACTCTTAATTGCTCTTATAACATAAATAGTCATTGGTATATGACACCTATTCATCTTCCTTAGAAATGTTAAGGATTCTATGTATATGTATGTAATATGTTTTGAATTATTATCGTAATCAAAATTTAGAAAAGTAAGTTTATGGTGCAGACATACTAATGTTTCTCCATTTTAGGAAGTAGGTAGTTTGCTACTTTTTTGAGTAAATTATTTTGTATGAGTACATCAGACGAAAACGAGCGCCAAACTTCTGTCCAAGTTTTGGCGCTAAAATTCCCCAATATATGTACTTTTGTCTATTTGTCTAATAGTTCAAGAGGCTCGCAGTATATACTATTCATTGCAATCGTAATATATTATATATTATTAAACCATTACAAGAAAAACAAAAAAGCCTTATTTTTGTCACGCGTGGATTACTAGAATCGATAAACAGCGAACAATTAGTATTTGAAAGAATCACTACAACTAGCCTTATGTATAAATTCTGGCAATCTTCCACTGCAAAACAGCTGCAAACTACGTATAGTCCAGTTCGATAGAGAATTTAAGCAGTAAATGGCTTAAAGTACAAAGCTGTCTGTCGTGACTTAATATGTAGGAGTTCAGGATTGCACAGTCTAAGGAAGGCAAAATATTCAAAGATTTCCCTATTCGTATATTGGAAAAATGATTTTTTTTAACATTTATTTATATAAGGATAATTGGGAATAAAACTCAGTAAACAGCCGTGTTCATTTCGCTCGCAACTTTATTGTGTAAGGAAAAATTAAATATTTATAAACTTAGACGAGAAATATTTTTTCTTATATACTTTATAAGGTTAGAACTTGAATTCTTTGTATTTCTTCGCTTGCTTGGAATCTGTGTTTTGTTGACGCTTCCGTTTATTCTGAAAACAGAAATACAATTCATCAGTTGCTTAAAGTATTGTGAGTTATGATCATCACTGAATAGTGGAACTTGTACCAATTATATAAATAAACTAGCTGACCCGGCAAACGTTGTTTTCCCATATCAAAAATAGGAGTTTGTGATAAAAATTACGGGTTGTATGTATTTTCTTATGCCACATGATAAAAAAATAAAAACAAAACCTTTCATCCAAATTAAAAAAACAATTTAAGGGTTAACAATCCCTATCATGTAGGGGTATGAAAAATAAGTGTTGGCCGATTCTCATACCTACTCAATATGCTCACAAAATTTCATGAAAATCGGTCAAGGCATTTCGGAGGAGTACGGGAACGAACATTGTGACACGAAAATTTTATATATAAGATTTGACATAAATAATTAATATAAAAATCTTTATATATATATAATTCTTCTGTGAATGAAAGAATGCAGTGACATACACACTGTATGTCACTGGATTCTCTCGAACGACTGAACCGATTTTGATGAAATTTTTTGTGTGTGTTCAAGGGGATCTGGGGATGGTTTAGATTCACAATTTCGTCCGCTGGACAATGTTTTTTAAATTAATTTTCAATTTTAGTAGTTGTTGATACAAACGTTTTTTTTTACATTAGATTTGACAACTAACTAATATGTCAATCATTCGCACTTCAAAACACTTAGATTTATGGCTTTAATGGGTGAACTGCAAAAATATAAATGAAAAAATCGTAACAGATGTCTTGATTATAGGGCGTTACGAAGTTCGGCGGGTCTTCTAGTAGCTATATAATAAATATTTCCACTCTGTCTTATAGTACCTTCTGCCTGGCCACGTGGTCAGCCAACATATCGGACAGGTCCTCTCGTCCCTTGGGCCTGTGTTCCCGCAGGTGTCTCTCGTAGCGCGCCGCCACAGCCTCGGGCTCCAGCTCCAGCTCCGACGGGTCCAGTGCCACCTCCACACCGGCCGCCGCGCTGGGACCTACCTCACTGGTAGCACCCGTTGGAGCGCGTTTACCTTGAACAGAACAATAGTTACTTGTTAGAGACTTTGTTATAGAGTAATACATTAAGTATAATATCAGACAAGAAACATTTCGGTCAAATTACAATTTATTTACTTATATTGGTTACCTTGAAGTATTCAAGAGTTACTTGTTAGAGACTTTGTTATAGAGTAATACATTAAGTATAATATCAGACAAGAAACATTTCGGTCAAATTACAATTTATTTACTTATATTGGTTACCTTGAAGAATTCAATAGTTACTTTTTAGAAACTTGGATAGAGTATAATATCAGTCCTTATGATGAATGCAAGAGATATGTATTTAAAGTTAAAGGACTTAATGTGGTAATTTTTCTGTTATATTTTATATTTTTCACAAATTACGTTTAGTTAATTATTAATATACCTTCGCATTATATGTACGAAAATGTTATAAGAATTCTTTCTCATATTACACTTATAATAAACAATTATGACAAATTTCAAGATTAGTTCAAAAAACCAGTAGCAAGCAGTCTTTTTACATATTTTTTATACTAATATTATAAAGCTGAAAAGTTTGTTTGTTTGAAAGCGCTAATCTCCGAAACTACTGGTTCGAATTGAATAATTCTTTTTGTGTTGGATAGTCCAGTTATCGAGGAAGGCTGTGAGCTATATAACATCAGACTACGACCAATACGAGCAAAGATGTAGTGGTAAATGTGTAAAAAACGGGAGAAATTATTTCATCTTTGAAGCCTTCCGTTGCGTGCGCCGTGAAAACGGTTCAAGATACACAAAAAATATGTATGAAAGAATAATAGCTCTTTTAATGATCTAAAAAACAGTCCGCGACAGTATATGTCTATCTTTTAAGATTAACTCACAAAAACCGTTTTTATGATACCTAATTTGGTCGAAATAATTTTATAAAATCTTTATTCAAATAAACAAGTCAATATGTTGTTGGCTAAGAGTACTTCATTGTGAATTAAAAAATAAAACATAGATTTAATCTTGAAAACTCTACGGGAACTCGACCATTCCGAAAACCCCACAAGAACGGGAAGAACCAAAAATCTGCCGGAAGTCACTACTCCACGCGGACGGAGTCGCGGCAAAAGCTAGTTAGTTATAAATAATAACAAAGCTTTCTTTAAATATTTACCCGGATTAGCGGCATTGATGTCATAAACGTGTGTGGACGCCATCATACCAGAAGTAAGACCAACCCGTCTCTCAGGGACCACTTGATACAAGGCCGGTGTCTCGCCACTGAATATAAAAGAAACAAAATTAACTTACATCATAATTATTGATTACAAAAGTAATATTCAACTATATAATAAATGTTAAATCCTGTAGTATATTGGAACTTTAATAAGGAACATTATCGGTCACATGTTATATTGTAACCAATAATTCACTATTACAATTTCCAGACCTATATCTAGCTGAAATATATTTCCAAATTTTTACAAAATCTCTAATATATCTGAACGTATAGTCCTGAAATGATTATCAGTGGTGGCCTAGTGGTTACAAGGCTCGCCTCTCATTCATGAAGGCGCGGGTTCGATCCTGGCCCGGGCAAGTACCAATGTGATTTTTCCGAGTCATATGTACTTTCTAAGTATATTTAGACATTACTGATTAATGCATTCCCATAGAGTGTTGATGTCAGGCAGGCGGCCGGTCGTAGAAACAAATAGCCAAAACTATTCACAACATGTAAGGCCCTGGCTAAAGCTAGGAAATTATCCAGTAATCCAGTTTAATAGACCCCTCTATTATTCTATATTCCTTACCCCTCCAGATCCTCCATCTTCTTCTTCCTAAGTTCAATAGTATCAGGTGTCTCCAGTCCTGGCGGTACGGAGCTGGTGCCCAGCGGAGTGACGAGTCCCTCGCCAGGGGTCGCCACACCCGCTGCCACAGCTTCGCCATCACCGGCCTTTTCACCCTCATCGGATTCCTCTGTAATAAAAGCGAGACCAATATATATATATATATATATATCACTATTTGGAAATATAATACTTGATATGTAAATAACATAATAAGCTAAATATACTACAATTTCAATTGAAAAACAAAAAAACAAAGATACATGCAGGATTCGAACCCGCGATCTCCGAAACGTGACGTTCAAGGTACTTTACACCCACAATCACACCCAAATACATTGAGTTATTATTGTCTATCAATATACAGGGTGACTGGTGAATTACTATCAATATTTAAGGAGAATACTCGGTACATGATTCTCATTCGAATTATGTAAAAAAATAGGCACTTAATTTTTGACAAAATTTCCGTAATAATAAGTAAAGTGTTGACACGTTCCAAATGTTCAAGTGTGGACGCGTGCGGCGACGTGCTGATACAACACTACGTCACGACACGCGTATGTGTGAGTGTCAGTGTATACCTAATCTGTAGGGGGTTCACACGATGCGTAATTAATTACACAACTTTTGGTTAACTTTACTTAGAAGTTTATTAATATTTATGTTATATTAATTTTTATTTTGTCATATATGATCGTCAAATATCACGTCCTCAAATATCGATAGTAATTCACCAGTCACCCTGTATAAATACCTTCTTCAGATTCCTCTTCTGACTCGGACTCCAGTTCACCCCACATGGTCCTGTCTATATCTTGATCCTCAGCATCCTGTGGACAAAATCACATTAGTACATACTTATAAAACCAATATATCTTGACCTTCGTAATTGTGTGACAAGGGACATAGAGGTCCACAGTTTTGTGACCTCACATATTAAAATTTAAAATACTTAGATTGTTATCTAATATAAATACGTTAAAAATTAAAATAGTTGTTTTCTTTCAATTATTTTTAAATACACACATATTTTTTATGTGTGACGTAATATCAGGAGAGGGGGTTATATTATGACAGCCTGTGACAAAGACGGTTCAAAGTTCAAAGTCATGTGACGTGCTATATACATGGCTTCTAATCAATTTATATATAGTTACATCTTGGCCGCTGCTCTGATGTCCGAACACGTCACCGTAGAGAGGTTTGCCGGCTTCATCGACGGGAGGTTTCCCCCAGCCGCCCGCGTGATACCCGAACGCGCAACCCTCGGGTATAGGAGCATTCAGACCAGGGATCTTTAGGTTTGGGTATGAAGGAGGCGGACCGTAACGCTGCTGGGCGATCAGCCACGGAGGTGGCACCTGAAAGATACGATATTAGCATAGGAATTGGCTAAATATGTATATGCATAGGCTTCAATTATAAGGTGTGCGAATTAATCTTAGTTATTACTTTTATCTTGTATGGAGAAGACTAACAAAATGTAATTCATGTATGTTTCTTTGAATTTAGTTTAGACTTTAGATTATTGTTTGTTTTCGGCCTAAGAACAGATATTAATCCTTTTTGAAGCAGTATAACTAACTAGATAATATTTTAAAGGGACTTTTAATACAAATTATTTACTAAGAACTTTAAATAACAAATAATATATACCTTATGAGAGCCAGGTCCCACCGGCATTCCCAATGCCGTTCTAAGTTCCTCTGACAAATCTCCCGGTTTCTTCTCCCTCAGACGAGTTTCATACTCCTTACCCTCGTAGTAGAGATCGCCGTGGATGGTCATACGAGGCTTGGTCTGCCACCTATAATCATTTTTCTATTTACATAATATTCATGCAAATAAATAAAATTCAAGTTTCTTATATCAAAATTATCCCATTGTACTAAATACATACAAATGGATACCTATGGTACATATTATGTCAAAATTACATTACAATTTTTGTAAGTCAACCTGTTTTTTCTGGTCATTACGCGAAACGGCTGAACCTATTTTTATGGAATTTAGAAAACTATTTTGCTATATTAAGGAATAATCTAAATTTATTATACATATTCATATTAATAAAAAACGAACACCGTCAGAGTAGCGGACTTAGCTAAAATGTTATAGGTTTTTTCATTCATGTTTAACTTTTAAATGAATCTTGAACATGTTGTAATAAAAATACAAACTAAATAACTCACCCTGTATAATATATCAGATCCACCTAAAAACCTAAACGAAATTGAAACATGCTCCAGTATTTAAACTGACTGTAATAAGATCCAAAATAAGAAAGGTTCATTATAAACCAATTTTCAAGATCATTATTACTTGTTTGTTTGGTATTGCGTTACAATTATCGTTTTCTCATGATTCTTACTGTTATTTTATTTACATATGTGGCCTATCTATAATGGTAAATAATATTTAAAAAAATCTGTTTATACATAACATATAGAAGCGTCACTCATATTATTCGTTAAGCCAGAGTAATTACGTCACATTTTTCATTTAAAATTTGGCGTTACAGATTTATACAAATTCTTTTATGAATAAGTACAAAAAATACTGATATACTATTATCATATTGAAATGAATTATATAAAATTATTGTTCGGAAACATATTATTTAAATAAAACTAATATTTTTGGATTACTACTATACATCTCGTCTGTACGTGATCACGGTTGCTGCAACGTAACCGATACATCGGGAATATGTAGTTTAAAACAATAAAATACGCTAAGTAATCAGAAAAATATAAATTTCATTCAAATGAATACTTCCAAAAGTCTTAGATCTCATGATATAATTGAAATTAGACTACTATATGTATGTATGTATCATGTATGTATGTATGTATCATGTATGTATGTATGTATGTATGTACTAACTTGAAGAACGCATCATGTAGCTTCTGATAGTCAATATCAATCTTGCCCAACTTGGGGCGCGTCCTCTCCCTCATCTTGGCCTTGAGCGTCTTAGTCTCCTCCTTGTCTTGAAGCGAGGCTCTCATCTCCATGATGCCGGTCTTCTTGATGAAATCCGGCAGATCGAACGGAGGCTTCTCGATACCGCGCTTGCCTTGAAGGTACTGGAAATATATTATCATAGTAATTAATTATTATGTATACAGGGTGACTGGTGAATTACTATTGATACTAGAGGATGTGATATTTGATGATCATATATGACAAAATAAAAATTAATATAACATAAATATTAATAAACTTCTAAGTAAAGTTAACCAAAAGTTATGTAATTAATTACGCATCGTGTGAACACCCTACAGATTAGGTATACACAACACACACACATACACATGTCGGCGGCGTGGTGTTGTATCAGCACGCCGCCGCACGCGTCCACACTTGGAACACTTGGAACGTGTCCACACTTTATTTATTTATACGGAAATTTGGTCAAAAATTAAGTACCTATTTTTTTTACATAATTCGAATGAGAATCATGTACCGAGTATTCTCCTTAAATATTGATAGTAAATCACCAGTCACCCTGTATATGTCTATCGATGTTTAAAAAATACTATATATTTGGACATGCTTTCTATTGTTTTTCCGAGTCATATGTAGTTTCTAAGAGTATTTAGACACCATTGACAGGTAAAGGAAAACATCGTGAGGAAATCTGGACTTTATAATATCAAATAAGTTTGAAATCTCCAATCTTGCTTGAGCAAGCGTGGTGATTAATTTATTTTATGTATTTTTTATTTTATTTACGGTTCAAAAAACTGATTATAACTAATTATACAATTAATTGGTAGGTAAACATTATAAATGAGCTGAGTTATAATCCAACAACTATGTGAACACAGATTATAAACTAAATATTTCCTTATAAAAAAATAAAAAAGTACATCAGCACTTAAAAATACATATAGATATAAGAAAATACACTTACAATAAATAGAAAAAATTTTACACAGAAAAATATGAACAAGTTACAGCAATAAAAATATAATGAAAAATTAAATTAAATTATAAACTGGTGAAGTGAGGAACTAAATAATGGATAAGAAAATAGATTCAATCACTATTATTGGCTGTTAACTAAAACCAATTGTTTTTTAAATAGATTTAGGTTATTGTTGAAAATGTCAATACTATCAATCGCGTCGTTTTCAAAAAAAACCTTATTATATGCACGACACGTATGTCCGATAGGATTATGATATGAAATGTTGTTATTGTAAACATCCAGAGTAAATATTCTAGGGTGTCGGAATTTAAAGTTGATGTTTATATTGACGGAACCTAAAAGCATGGGTGAATCAACAACACCGTGAATAATTTTGTGCAAATATACTAAGCTATTGCAGTTGCGACGCATTTCTGGTGTTTGCAATCTAAAATGGTTAAGTCTGTCATTGTAGCATTCGAGTTTACGTCCGTACCGATAGCGAGAACTGAGCAATCGCAAAAACCTTTTCTGTACAGCCTCTACCTTTTCACATTCTAAAATACTTTTATATTCTAAAATACTGCGAACCATGGTACAGTAAAGATGTATGGTAGTTTTTGGTCTCTTAACACTTTTAGTGCTCCTGCCTATGAATCCACACAATCTGTTTCCTTTGTTAATGATGTAGTCATAATGGTCTCTAAAAGAGTTTTTCATCAAATATTACGCCTAGATCTTTGGCCGTGGATTTGCGTGAAAGTATCTTTTCAGCGTAAAGCTTATTACAGTGCACTTTTCTGTATTTAACATCATATGATATTATTAGAGCACCATTCAGAAACAGCATCTATGTAAGTTCTTCTGAAGAGATGTAGCGTCATTAGTGTTGTTAATCATGAAATACATTTTGAGATACGTATAGTAAAAATTGACAAGACAAGTTCTTAGCTCATTAATAAATAATATGAAAAATGTTTTTATTAATGCTCTAAACTAACCTTCCAAATGTGAAAAGAAGCCTTTATTCATCAGTGGGTACCAATAGGATGATGATGAAGTTAATAAAGTGCATCTTTTATTAGTCATACTAGTGATACGCAAATTGTATAGGCTCGAGAGTAACAAGGGTATCATTCACATCAACAATTCTCTACATCTTGTTTAAGGTTGTATAGAAATAGTCTATTGAAACGTTCTCTGATGTTAGATATAATTTTCACTGACAATTATCGTATATAATGTTCATGGTAAAGAACATAATTCATGAAGCAACTCTCAATTCCTTTCCCACGCTTGACGGTCAAATAGATTAGAAATAAAATATATAATATCAACATTTTAGTAATATTCATTTGAATTTTACATTTGATAGTAATTATTTTTTATTTGAAACAATCATACCTTCCGTTTATAACACCAGTGTCTCGGTACTTGGACCGTGTTCCTGTGAGCCTTCAGTTGCACCAGTAGTTTAGGATCCCTGGCGGTGACGTCATACATCTCCACCACATCCGGCCGGGCTACAAGCTGCTTCAGCTCCGCCACCGACAGCCGGGACAGCTTCTTTAGCTTGCGTTTTGAGAGACGCTCCTTCTCATCGGCTGCATGTTTCTGTGATAGACATTATAGAAAACATATTAAAAATAAATGAACATCGCCGGGGCAAAATCGTTGTATAGATAAAATATCATATAACGAGTGACGCTATTGACTCCGCGGAACACCAAGCCGTGTGAACCAGAAGATTCCTGATACAACACAAGCATTTTAATGGTATTGCTATCCTAAAATCGAGGCAATAATGAAGTCTTAGGTATAGGTAATATGAGTTGTAATATATAATTCTTATTAGGAGTAAATTTCATAGTTTTCCTGGACTTTTCGTTGTTACTCTATATAATTCAATTAAAGAAGTTGCATGTGTAAACCCTGCTCATTTTATAATTGTTTTATTTGAATTATAAAATATAAAAAATGTATTCCTTTATCCTACTAATATTACAATTGCGAAAGTTTGTGAGTGTGTGTGTATGTTTGTTACTTCTTCACGCTCGAAAGTCCGAACCGATTTTGATCAAATTTTGTAAACAGGAAGCTGACGTCCAGGAATAACACATAGGCTACTTTACATCATGGAAATCCGTGGGTAACACCGCGGGGAGTAACTAGTAATAATATGAGACAATATTAACCTCAACAGCCTCTTCATCAGCTGCAAATTGGTCGGTAACTTTCTCCAACGGCTTGCTGGGTTTCGGTGCATCTTTCCCCGGTTCATCCTTGACCTCCTCCTTCCTCTCCGTAATCTTAAACGACTCCAGGATGCGGTGGAACTGACGGTACATGGGCTCTAGCTCATGGAACTGTATGTTCTCTTGGACATATCTGAAATGATCGCATAAAGTAATTACTTTTATGACCTAACCTTATTAATGGAAGAAATGTTTGGAAAATGAATTCTTCAATATTATTTTCATGATATAAACTGGCTTTGGCCTGCAATTATCGCCATGGACTTTAGAATTGAGTTCATAGTGACACAAATACATGAGTTTAAAATAATATATGTATGTGAACCATAATATGTCTGCAAAGAATATGATCTGTGTCTGAATATAACATGAAATTTAATCTTGATATATTTCTACAGAATTTAGCACCATGAGACAGCATGGATTGTAAAGTCATAACCTTTATCTTATTCTTATGCAAGCCCCAATACTGGAGAGCTTGGCTAATTTACTCATTAGTCTTTGTGTAAGTGTAACAGACATACTTACTAACTTTCCCTTTATAACATTAGTAGGAAGAAACAATATAATTACTCAATCTCAGCTTCCTTTTCATTTTCTTTGTCGCTTGTCTTCTGAACTTCTTTACTACTTTCCTCAGCCGACTTTGCTTCTTTCCTTTTCTGTTTTGCCGCCTTCTTCTTCTTCTTTTTCCGTTTAGTTTTACTTGCTTTGGTTTGATTCTGTAATTATATGACAAATGTTGATTTAGATGAAATTTTTAAATAGCTTTTTGGATGGCATCTCTTCAATCTGATGTTACTATGAAGAGATCTAAAATTTTCACGAGTTGTATATGTATACATTTTATTATTACCAATATTTTTCGAATTATACTACGCGACTTTATTTTAGTAAACGTCGGGAGTATGTAGTTTTTTACAAAAATAAAGTAAGTCATTTAGCATAATTTCGGATTATAATATTAGTTTCATTTATTTCTATGAAGTTTCATATTATTAAACTAAATTTAAAGTGAAATATATAATTGTATTTCCCTAGTACCTCTTGTTTTGATATTATCGGTGGTAAGGGCGCTTCAGGTATATTATCTTCATCGGAGTCTCCTTCCTCTTCCACATCATACTCTGTACTGATCACAGGAGCCGGGGGAGGTTCAGGTTTCTTTGCTTGCTCTGTGTTCAAATAAATATTATTTTAAATCATTGTCTATAATAATGTATATTATACGTTTATGGCAAATTCAAAGTATTATTAAATCTGTTTCTCTGTTATTGAGACTGAACTTCATTTAACTATTATACCATAACATATTTATTATTCCTCAACTTCACTTTACTAATGAAAATTTCATATAATAACATCATTTAAGGTAAACAAGTACCTGTTACTTTATCTGCCTCATCTCCTAATGCAGCTTGTCTTTGATCTTTGTAAGCGAGTGCCTCCTCCAAAGCTTTTGGTAGCACCACACCGCCCACAGCAGAAGGTGGTTTATTTCTAAATTCCTCAGGTGTATCTATCTTCATGGTCAACAAGGACGGTAGTGGAGGCCCAGATGGATCACTTTCATCATCATTATCATCTTCATCGTCGTCCTGATCCTCCCACCCTGGAGGCCCGTCCCCTCTACCTTGTCGCCCCCAGCCAGGCGGGCACTGATTGTCCCAAGGATTCATATTAGAGGGTGGCACCATACCGGGAGGTCCCATATCTATGGCTTGATTGTAGTTACTCTTCATATTAGGTGTTCCCCGCATCATAGCGGGGGGCATTCGTGACGGAATACCTGGCGGACCCATCGGAGGTGGTCCCATGTTGATCCCGGGCGGTCCCAGGCCCGGCGGAGGTGGAGGACCAATGCCGGGAGGACCCATACCCATCATGCTAGGAGGTCCCATTCCTGGTGGCGGCATGTTTGGTGGACCACCAGACGTTGTGACTGCAGGCATTGTACCGGGCGGACCCACGGGCGGAGGTGGCATACTCCCAGGAACCATGGGGCCAGACGATGGAGGCATGGGAGGAAAACTGGGCATTCCTGGCGGTGGGCCCATAGAACCGCTACTACCTCCAGTAGTTCCCGGTGGACCATCCATGACGTCTCAATAAGTAATACTCACTTAACACAAGAACGCCGACTATATAGTTCTACAATATCATCTTAAACTTATATCAATGAAATGTATTCCACATTAGTTTTATGGTAATATTTTAGGTTATTAATTAAGAGACTTGACACACAACAATTATTAAATTCCTAATGAAAATAAGCAATAAACGAAAGCATTCGACAATCAAGCGAGACAGTAGGTAGACAGATTATACCAAGTATTTAGTACAGTATACATATATTTTGCAGATACAAAAATTGTTTTGTTTTCAAAATATGCAAATGTTTAAAACGTTTTTCATTCATAAACTTTTTTTAAACACTATGTAATATATATGTTCGTTAAAATATAATGTATATTTGAAAGGTATAAAAAATATATAATTTATCTTAAATGATATATTTACAATTATAATATTATACAATGCACAATATTTTTAGTGTTTTTTGAAATTTTTCACCGTCTGACATCTGTGCGATTTTGATTGGTTTTTGTATTTGTCGATTTATCTTCAATCTTGTATTTCGATAATTTAGAAATTCACTAATTGTTATCAGATTTTTTTTCATTTAATATTAATCAAGTGAAATAATAATCTCTTCTGGTGTTTTACGATATTTAAGAGAATTTTGTTTCTTTCTTTTGTAATATGGTTGAAATGGGTGAGAAATATAATACTAAGTGTCCTGGTGTTAAAAGACTAATGAGAGAAGCCATGGAGTTAGCGGAAGCAACCGAAGAATATTGCGCCAGACCACTCGAAGACAACCTGTTTGAGTGGCACTTTACTGTACGAGGACCTGTGGGAACTGATTTCGAGGGTGGTGTTTACCATGGCAGAATATTGCTACCAAAAGAATACCCTATGCATCCACCACACATAATCTTGCTTACTCCAAATGGAAGATTTGAAGTTAATAAAAAAATATGTTTATCAATTTCTGGACACCATCCAGAAACCTGGCAGCCATCCTGGTCGATAAGAACAGCTTTATTAGCTCTGATTGCCTTCATGCCTACTCCAGCTGAAGGAACTATTGGATCTTTAGATTATTCTCCTGCAGAACGGAAACTTCTTGCCAAAAAGTCTAACACGTGGGTGTGCTCTCAGTGTGGCGATATTACAGCATTACTTTCTTCCACTGCCGCTAAACCACCTACAGAGGAGGAGCAAACCGTGTTAAATCAAATAGCATTCAAGGGTGAAGACGAGCAAGCAAGGCCTGCACCAGAACCTGTCTTTGAGCCTCAGAATGTACCACAATATGCAGAAAGAGTTCTGGAATCTTCTGACAACACAACTAGTTTTCTGGACCAATTAACTGAGATCTTGGTGGCTCTGCTGGTAGGAGTTATTGGTATATTCATTTATAGACGTTGGAATGCTCATATGCCGGTTGAACCTGAACTATAATCAAACTAAATAACTTAGTATTTTATAATTAATTTCATATAACCCTTATATCAAATTAATATGAAATAAATTGTAAAATGTATAACTACTAATGTTAAGATATGTTCAAATTATAAGTTTGTTTAATATATCAATAAATATTGGTGTTTACTTCAATATATGTAACTTTGTTTCATATTTAATATATATTAATGTTGTAAAGCACAGCTCCATATATCATTCGACTAAACACAGTAATAACTATGAAAGAAGGAAATATCGGCACTGAAATTGTGAATCAATACATCACTATAATTTGTGTGATTTTTATTTTATATCTCTGTAGATATTAAGTACTATTTATTAATTATAGCTTGTATATTAGTTGTATCTGTTAGTTAGGTGCAAAGTAATAAAATTTGACTTCATTCAAACCTAAATGTTTCAGACGAGTTTCTTCTCTTTTGTAATATATATGTATTATAAATTTTATGACTTTTGCACTTTATCGTAGTAACATTCCAAGAGCTTACAAAATATTAACTAGTCATCCACTTGGGTTTATTGTCAAAATTATTAAAACATTGCCAAAAATGTTATTTTATTAGTTTAAAATCTTAATTGGTCTGAAATTTAGGAAAACAGTGACTGATTTTTTAAATATTAATAAAAAATTCATTTTCTTTGTGGATGTAGTTACTGTGGAAAAATACTTTTATCCTCTGTTGCAATTTATAAGACCTAAGTATAATGTATCGAGTGAGTTAACATTACCTTCACCCAATTTTGTCTGACACTAAGTGACATTTCTCAATACTTAAGTAAATTGTTATTTCCAAGTATGTTGATTGAAAATCAATTACTGATATTACAATGAAAGCTTTTCATTATATAGACATATGTATATTTTAAATAATTATTTACTTTACAAATTTACTGTATATGAGTATAATAAAATTGATAAATTACAGTGTGAGTTTTTAATTTTACGTGTTTGTTTGAACAACTTTTATGAAATCAGTATTTTCAAGTGTTATAAATAAATAGATATAGGTATAAAAAAAAACTTGACTAAGACAGAAATACCAACATATTTTTTTTGTAGCTTATAAAGTATACAAACAAGAGTTTTGAAAATTGATGTAATGGACATTTACACCTATAAATAAAAGATCAAGGTAATAAAATTCTTAATAGTTACAATAACAGTTTATTGGCTTGTAAATATTTTACATGTCTCATCTGTTTGGGAAACTTAAATCACAATATAAAATCTGTGGATGCTTAATGTTTCATTTGGAACATAAATGACTTCTAACACTCATCAAATGAAATGAATAATATAAAAATCTATGAAACTAATTATATCAAGTCGGCTACATTCATTGGCATCTCGTCAATCTGTGTGGAGTAGTACTGTTCTATGTCTCTTAAGATCCTTATGTCGTCGGACTTCACAAAGTTGATGGCAACACCCTTACGACCAAAACGACCTGACCTGCCGATTCTATGAATGTACAATTCACGATTATTCGGCAAGTCATAGTTGATGACTAGGGACACCTGCTGTACATCTATACCTCTGGCCCATACATCTGTTGTTATAAGTACTCGGCTGGAAAAACAAAACTTTTTAATTTACTAGAAAATATGCAAACTGAAGCAATTGTTTGGTGCAATTTAAAGCTATATATTAAATTAATATATTGCAGGATATTGTTACATAATATCCAAGTATTATTACAACTAAAATTTTTGAAAATAAAAAGCTTGGTTTTATTTGGGAAGCACAACAGCCATCTTCACAAGCTTTTTTCTCCATTGACATTTATCTATTCTTGTTACATGAACTCAGGATTACCTTATAAAATATGAGGTAGAAAAAAAAACTTAAAAATAAAACCCTCTTCCACATATTATATGTATACAGTAGTTTTCATTTAATCCAAACACAACTATAGGCCCCTCTATAATTTGATATATACAGATTAGGAGTTAATATTAATTATATATACCTTTGTCCTGACCGGAATTCTTTCATGATATTGTCCCTTTCCTTTTGAGGCATATCTCCATGCATCGAGCTCACAGTGAAGTTGGCTTCCTGCATTTTCTGAGTCAGCCAGTCAACCTTTCTTTTAGTATTACAGAAGATCACAGCTTGAGTGATTGTTAATGTGTCATACAAGTCGCAGAGAGTATCAAATTTCCATTCCTCCCTTTCCACGGCAACAAAGAACTGTTTGATACCTTCCAATGTCAACTCATCACTGGAAATAGAAGAAAATTATTAAGTATTATATTCAATACATTTTAAAATATTTGTACTGTAAAGCACAATTATTTGTGTATTAACTACGTTATTACAATAGAACAAAACAATGATATAATCATTTTAAGCATTATTAAATGTTTCCTAACAGATATTTTCTGAAGAGAACTTTAATAATAATAGTTTCATACAACAAGTGATAAATATTAATCATTTTCAAGTACAAACCGTTTTACAAGTATCCTAATAGGATCAGTCATAAACTTTGAGGTCATTTCCAGAATCTCATGGGGTAGAGTAGCAGATATGAGAACGACTTGTGTAGCCGGAGGCAGATAACGGTACACATCATAAATTTGTTCCTTGAATCCTTTGTTCAACATTTCATCAGCTTCGTCAAGAACTAGCATTTTAATAGACCTTGTTCGGAGCACTCTTCGTCTGATCATATCTGAAGATTAAATTAAAAATGTATACTATACAATAAATTCAAATAATTTTATTAAAAGTTATTATGTATTAATCATTTCTATGATATGTAAAATTATTTACCGAAAACTCTGCCAGGTGTCCCCGATACAACATGCTGCCCGTAATCAAGTTTTCTGATGTCTTCGCCAAGATTAGTACCACCAATACATGCATGGCACTGTACATTCATAAAGTCTCCCAAAGCCAGAATAACCTTTTGAATCTGAGTGGCCAATTCACGAGTAGGGGACAAAATCAAGACCTGTGTTTCACGAAGAGTTGTATCCAGAGATTGAAGTATGGATATTGAAAATGTAGCTGTTTTGCCAGTACCGGATTGTGCCTGTGCAATGACATCGCGGCCCTTCACAATAGGTAGTATACTTCTTTGCTGAATGGCGGAAGGTTTCTCGAAACCTGAAATATATCATTATTAATACGAAAATTATGTATTCAACTCAGTAATTGAATATTACACCTATAAAAACTAACCGTAAGTGTAAATGCCGCGTAATAATTCATCTCGAAGTCCCATGGAATCAAATGTCGGTATAACTTCCACATCTTCGCTGGTGTCGAACTCAACGTTTGATAAATCCTCTGATATTATTTTACGATTATATGAAACTTCCGATGCCGTCATATTCGTGATGCCGTGTTCCAATTACTATTCGTGCAAATCCAACTTTCTAAATACAATTTGTAGCTTTGAATGAATTGGTCGCAACGGTGACAAAATGTAATCATGTAAACTTTAAACTTTTATTTGCTTATTCTTAGGAAATTAACTGAATTAAGTATATAACAGATCGAAGAACTTTAAAAGCCGTAAACACAGAGCGTGCAATATACAGTAATGTTGTTAAAACGAATATGGCGGCGGACTCATGAAATAGTAACAGAATAAAAATATTTAGTTATATTTAAAGTGGCAACATTGACTTGAACACATGATCCCGAAATTATATGTAAATTTCAAAAACGATTAAACAAATAATTAGTATAATTACTATAACTGGGCTACTAAAAAATACTTATACAAGGTTATCAAAGTATTTTGAAACTTTTGCGAATTTTGCACTCGCAATCTTTCATTGGTTATTATTTATTAATATTGCTTTAATGAATAATTTCGGGTCCATGAGAATAAATACAAAATTATTTATTGGATATACGATTTCAATTTATTAAATGTTTTATTTTTAAAAATACTTTACATCGTATTCACATTGAAATATCATTTGTGACCAAAATGAACGACTTTATTTAGATTTTGAACGAATCAAAATGGATGCTGGGTGTGAATGAACTATGTACTGAAAAACGAACAGCTTTTTATCGAGTTGTTTCGTGGACCCGATTATAATCGGGAATCCGGCTTCACGGTTTTGTTTTATAGTATTTTAGGCGGTGTTAAACTAGTAACGTTGTCCATCGTAACAGGGTTGTAGAGTACAGTGGATGAATTCTGTAGTCACGGTGTAGGTAATGTGTTTACGAGAGTGTCAGGCGAGCTTCCCGCAGGTGTCCCTAATAGGATGAGGACTCTCACGGAAATATTGAATGTCGATACGAATCAACGAGTGGTATGTGTTGGGCTGCCGTCGCTCCTCGGTGCAAAATGGCGAGAATATATGGACTAAAGTGTTGCTCATGAGCCGTCCGAGCGAGCAGAAATGAAATGCATATACAGGAAGGAACAAACACAACTCTGACAACATGTTCCAAAATGACAGAAGAAGTAGACAGAAGACATGGTGTGAATGGGAACAGCAGTAGTAAGAATGCTCATGAGGATCCCCCTGTGGCGAGTTCAGCTCCCGCTACGACGGGTGGGAGGCTCAAGTTCTTTAAAGGTCAGTGTTCAACTGGATTACGTATTACCTAACTCCAACATTTACTAATACATAAATTAATCATCCATAATTAAAATCATAGAAACAAGTGATCTTATAGATTTACAATAAAAGTAAGAAAAACTAGAAAGTCATTCATGCTCTGATAAACATAAGCAGCTACATTTGAGTGAGCAGTTGCCAATTGTCTGTGCAAACCTCTGTTTTATTGTTTTGTAAGAAGCTGGTCACCGTAGCGGAAACATGACTAAGTAGGGATAGGAATAACAGATGATAGCATTTACTTCAATATTTATATAATATTCTTATAGGTTTATAAGCAAAATAAACATTTTAAACTTATATTCAAACAAATTTTTAGTCCACTACTAAAATTCTTATATACAAAGCGAGGTAAGAATTGTATTGGTCATTGCCAAGTTGCATATATTACGACATTGAATTTAATAAAAGTATATGTAGCTTTTTTAATTACATTTCTTGTGATTACTTGGAAAAACCAGAACCATAATTAATGAGCATGAATTATAATTGAAGAATTGAATGAAACGGTAAACAAAAATTAATTAGTTCAGTTAGAACTCTATTGGAGTTAGTCTAAAGCCATATGTTACTTATATATAATATGAAATATGAATTTATATTTAATTTCATTATATACACATGTTTAAAACATGTAACCTTACATAACATGATGTGTCAGTGTTAATATGATATAAATCAGCTATTAGTTTGACCTGAGCAAGCACATTCTATAATAAACAAACATTTGGGCCAAGTGTCACTTACACATGTAAAATAAACATGTGTGATATGGATGTGTATCTTTACTATGATTTACACACACACACACACACACACACATACATACCCACACACACACACACACATACATACATACAGGATGTTAAGTGTAACTGTATACTGTTTTTCCATGAGCCTGTGTTAATAATAAGAAATAAATAAGGATTCAATAATAATGATTGTTATAAGTAAATGTTGTGTATCCGTATGTTTACTTTAAGTAAATATTGTTCCATCAAATAGATACAAGTGTACTTTATCACAAGACTATAATGTTTAGTAAAAATATCATTAATGGTGTATATTATTGTGATAATAGTTTGTTTTTATTACTGATGTATTATGAATATACATATGTATATAATCAGGTAGTTTATAATTAGGTTGTGAACTAATTTATGTATGTCTGTTTGAAATAATATTGTTTTAATTATATGAGTACTATTGAATGTTGGACTAGTGCATTCTAAGTGTATATTGTGAGTACTAATAACATAGTTGTTTCTTATTAGTGTTATCAACTGTTAGGAAAAATAACTTGTAATATAAATGTGAATTATGATTTATGTGATACATGTTGAATAAATATGAATTGAATATGTGTTAGCTGTCCAGTATGTTGTTTAGATTATTTGTATGTTTATTTGTAGTGGACATAATGACAACTATACATGCAATATGTGTATATTAGATTTATGGGTTGTGTTAAATTTATAATAAACTTTGTTTTCACAGATGGAAAGTTTATATTGGAACTGGTCCGAGGCAGCGCGCGCGAGGGTGAGCGCGCCGGCTGGGTGTCGGTGCCTCGTAAGACGTTCTGGCCGCCGGCCGCCGCCCCGCCGACGCCTCCACACGCGGCGCCGCCCTGCGCCTCCTTGTCACTGTCAGACGACAACTCGTCGCTGCACTCCTCGCCCTGCACCTCGCACCGCGACCACTGCTGGAAGCAGCCGACGCCGCGCCGCAACCTGTCCAAAGAGTTAGCCATGTACTACTGCAGGCCCGCCACCCTGCACACCGCCCACATCGCCACCGCCGCACGCCTCAAGAGGAGGAGACCCTTCGACACCGGCTACCATGAGGTCCTCACCAACGGGACGCTCCGGAAGACCTGTGTGAACGGAGCCTGTGACAAGAAACGGAACGGTGACGTCGGCTCGCCCGAGAACAAGCTTTGTAAAGGAGAAGACGTGGTCGACGGGCCGACGAAGACGGACGAGGATAGGTGGACGGACTTCGACAGGGAGAAATACTTTCATATGAAACTCAAAAAACCATATCAGTATCATAAGTTAAGGGTGTACAAAAAGACGAGGCCGGCGCTACGACGCAAGGAGTTGGCCCGGGTCTTAGAAAGACTCCGAGAGAAAATTCTGTCGTTACCCGCGCCCGTGAACGCTAAACTGGCGAACTGCAGGCAGGAGCACATGATGGTGTCTCCGAGGAAACGGATCCTGCGGGAGATGGAGCGGGTCAGTCTCGAAGACCAGGCGACCAAGAGGAGAGCGAAGACGGTCCCCGCGCTCAGCACGGCCTCCTACCCGCCCTCGCCCGGCCCCAGTCACACACAGCACCGCGGAGCAGACGGGCCGGCGAGACTGGCCAACGGGACGGCTCCCAGGAAGGAGGCCGCGGTGTCCAAGAACGTCAGCAGCTACAGCATACACTCGTTGCTCAGCATGCCTGATGAGAGTCCCACGCGCCGCTCGCCCGAGGCCAAGCGTTCGCCGCATTCCTACCCACCGTCATTGAAGACGGAGTCTCCTTCGAGCGTCAACTCGCCCGATTTGAGCCCCAGTCCGGACAGCTACCGGTACAGGTACTCGGCTCTGTCGCTGGGCTCCCCGGGACGCGGCGCGGCACGAGATTCGCCCACGCCGCCTCAGCCCACCAACCCGCCTTCCTTCCGTGCATATGCACCGCCCACGTCCCCGTACGGTGGTCGTCCGGGGCCCGCGTGGCCCGCTCCGCCTCCGCCGGGGCCCTTCAGACGAGACGAGTGGGCCGGCCCGGGCGCTGTGAGCGGCATGAGCAGCGCACAGTATGTGTTCGGGTATGGGTACGCTCCGCACGTGTACCGCGCCGCGCCTGCGCCCCCTCTGTGGATGCATTACGCGTTGGCCCCGGGCGCTCCCCCCGGCCCGTGGGCGCCTCTCGCTCATCCCCTGCTCACGGACCACATACCCAAGGAGGAGCCCACGTCCGGTCAGTATGACAGACGGTTAATGTTTTCCGTATATCCGTAAACATTTAAATCAATGTGTCTTTTATGTCGTTTCAGATTTGCCGTTAAACTTATCGAAACATTGAAGCCGACGTCAATTAAGACGTGTGACGTCACGCGTCACTCGTCCGTCACGCGGCACGTCACCGGCGGGAGGGCGGAGAGGGGGAACTTGATATAACGCTAAATAAACTTTATTATACTATATAGGTATTTACAAAGGTAAACAAAGACTTTTAGATTAATTAAAATATAAATTAAATTGCAATATCGATAATATATTTTTATACATTCGGAAGCGAATCAATCGAGCGTGTTATTCGTTTTATTCTATAATCAATCATTCCATTGCCGCGTTCAATTGGCGCCTGTTGAAGTCCAAAAATCGCATCCCACCTGTACTAACGGTCGCCGCTATACTATAGTTAAAGCGTCTCTTCGCGGGGACGGAACGATATTTTTGTATAAAACAAGTTTTCCCGACGGATCTGTTTGTCCGGAAATGTATTTACAAATTTTTATTATATATGTATCATATATTATAGTGGTATGTACGTGTGCAGAGTAACGAGTGTATTTTCATACGAATTATTTGAGCTGCGAAATGAATATTTTACAATGAGCTGTAAAGGTTTAGCGTTTAAATGTAATGTAAGATCTTTAACGAAACTAAACAAATACATTTAAAGTTTTTAGAACGATCAGTGCCTTGAATAAATGAAGATATTATGAACATATTTATGAATGAAAAAAAAAGTATTAAATGATTGTTAACGAAATGAATTATACTACCGCTGTTGGCGTCTTAATTGTAGCCATTTTTTGATATATTTACAATATAGGTACAAAAATTTGTTATTCGTTCAGTAATCAGGAAAGCTAACAATATTTGAATGACTATGTTCGATCTCATTATTTAATTTAGAAACTTACGAGGTTAAAGACTACAGTTTTTTTTGTTGTTGGGATCAAATTTGGATGTGTGTTTATGTAACATGTATATTAAAAGACATTGTATATAATTTGTGAATGGTGTTGTAACGAGAGTAAGTATATTGTAAGAGATAATAACGGCTTACGATCTAAAATGGTAAAGATTTATTACCTTTGAATAATAACTAATGTAATTGTACAGTATTTTTGTATTTTTTATCGAGTATTTTATGGCGACGATGACGACGTACATGTAAAGATGGCGGATGTACGCTACGGCTTTGAGATTAAATATATAAGTAGTATTTTTTTTTTGATTTTCAGCAATTTAGTATGGAGTTATGTATTATAAGTTCAGTTAGCTTGGCACGGGACTGACTTCGGATGTAATTTTTCTTTTTAATCGTTAATGGAATTGTATAAAATAGTCGTTTTATGGGAGGCCTACTGTAACGATTGTCCGCCAACAAAGTTGAATTAGATTTAATATAGATTTATCGGAACCTGCTCAATTAAACTCTGAGTAAAGCTAGGGAACAACGCTAATGTACCATATGTTGTCATTGGGACGAAACTGTTATTTTTAATTTCGTATTATTTTTAATATTTCACTTTCTACTATAAATATTTTTTATATCTGTATTCTGCACAATATAGTACTGAGAGTGATTTGTTTATATATATATTTAAATCCTTCTATCAGATTAAATCTATAATAGGTGTACCAAAATTATACATGTAAGTTTCATGATGTTTAAAAATATATAGTTGTAAGTTTTATTTATATAGCCATCAATATAATTTATTTGTATTTAAAAGGAAATAATAAAAAAAGAATATTTCATAAATCGTATTGTGATGTCCGGTTGTAAGATCACTCATGTTTTTGTTACGTCACTATTTTGTCATGAATGTCTCTGGTGAGCGAGTGTGTGTCATGAGATTCAAACTTTGCAATAGTTGGTTATATATAAAGTATGTCGGTTGTTATAGAAAAATTATTTATGTTCTATTTTGTAATCTATTTAGATTTAATCTTATTTATTTCTTTTAAGTATCTTCTATGCGATCTTTTTGTGAGCATTCCTTACTTAATGTATTTAACTAAAGTATGCTCACGACGGAGTTGTTATAAGACTACAACAAAAAGTACACACATGTGCCATTATAAAGCCTTACATTATAATATAAGGTTGTCAAAAATTAAAAATCAGTTTCCTCCCGCGAGCAACACGTGCCGCCGCCCTGTATGTAAACTAAATATTTTTTTTATTCAGACATGTATTTGTAATGTATGTGATAGCGCTTTTCGAATGAAGTGACGACGATGCAGGTGTCTTAAAATCAACTTAAAAACATATTTATCACGCGGAAATAGTTATTATCCATTATATTAAGATGTAGTTATGTACTCGAATAAATATAACTTTTTAGATATGTGTTTTATTTGTGTCATGGTGTGAGTTTTTATGTGTAGTAAGTATAAAAACGAATTCTTACATCCCAAAAATTTTCAAGGCAATTTTCTTAAAAAATCTCCATAGTTTTGTGAACTCAGCTAACTGGTACTAGTTAACCTATAAGTCTTGTTCACTTTTGTTATTTTATAGAAATACAATATATTATAACAAATCATAAACAATTCGATTCAGTAAAATCGAACTAATTACACATAAATTCCAAATTAGCCTCTGGCTAATTAAAACTTTCGGACAGGATTTTATGTTATAGCAACTTTTTTAAAGGAATACATTACTGTATTTACTTCATAAATAATATTAGGAATTTTAATATAATGGTTGTGATAAATAAGCAAATAATGTGATAGTTTAATGAAAGGAAATCATTCTGGTAAATTAAAGCAGACTTCCGTTTCAGTCGTAAAAATTACTTGATACGTTCGGAAATTCAGATGGCAGCGTGGAATGTGAGTTAGCATAACGACATCCTGCCCGCGTTAGCTCCGAACACAACTCCTTATATGACGCGAGTTCTTTTTTTTTGTTAATCGCCGTACAAACTAAACAAAGCGACTGACACTACTGTTTAGGAATAAATTGCTTTTATTTTTACTTCACAAAGAAGCAATTCAATAACAATGAATGTTAATGACTATCATTTTTAATCCTTGAGTCCTTGTAGTCTTCAAATGGATGGACCGATTTTTATGCAGATTCTTTTGAAAAGCCAGTTTCCCTTTCGGTTGTTCTTAGTTGTTTTTGATACATGTCAGCCCAATAACGTATGAGTACCAAGCAGTATAGGAGCACTTTACCAAAATAGTGTGACGCATTTTTCTCTACCAAGTGCTAAATGAGAACCATATAATTTTGACATGTCGAGGAATGCATTGTTTTTATTCAATTCATTTAAATATATGTCGCGTTAGGTTTTATATGGTATTGTTATTTTTTGTTCATGTAGTTCTAAAGTTTTGCATCTTAAGTGTTTAAGAAATTCGCAAAAACAAAGTCAAATTAATTTTTTGTATAAAACATACGACACAACGGGAGGACGTGAGCAGAAAATTAAAAAATAAAATACACACTATTCCAATTTGTGCTTTATTTATGAAAAAAATTGTAAATTATCCTACAATGAATCTCCGAATGAAATAGACTTACATATCGTTTTATGTATCAAATACATCATTTACTCGTCGCCAGATCGAACCACATAAGAACAATATAGTTTAAAATATTATCTACAGAATCCGTCGTCGGCGATTCGATTACCAAAAATACAATGTTCGCGTATGTGGGGGCCGCTCGGGGCTATGTACACGGCAATATACAGCGGGCGCTCAGCCGAGCAGCGCCTCCATGGTGTAGGGGTGCGGCGGGGCGGGCGCGGGCGGCCGTCAGTCCAGGATGACCAGCTGCAGCGGCGCGGCGCCCGGGCCCGCCTTCACGCCCGCCGCGCCCAGCGCCACGCCCGCCACCCCGCCGCGCATCACGCGCCACGGAGCGCGCGCGCCGCGGCGCAGCTCGCCGCAGCTCAGCGTCCGTCTGGCCGCTCTGATAAAACAAAAATTAATATATATACAATACGTTCATCTACTTCCTGCCACCGTCTCAACTAAATCATATATAGTGCGTTTGATTTAAGCTGAGCTTTGCATTTGTGTGAGTGCACACGGATAGTGTAGGTGTGATGTCAAAATTTTTAATGCAACGTTCTTTTCTAGTTTTGAACCAGTTTATACTGCTTTTACTTCGCCCCGCACCTTCCTCACTTCACCTTTTTTACTGGTAGCAATTCAAATGTTGAAAACGCAATGTCAAGTGAAGAAGAATTTGTATAGTTATTTCAAAAGTTTTATTAATTAATAAAAAAAAATCCATAATATTCCCATCTGGCCTTATTACTTGCTTATTTTATAGCACTTATATTATGTATCGCTTTGAAATATAATAAGATTTAATTCCAAAACTTTTTTGTCTAACACTACTTTGACTTTCACTCACAAAAATGCAAAGCTCAGCTTAAGTTTAACGGACTATACGACAGAACATATCGATATTGTTCTGAATCGCTACATAATATATATATATCAAGTGTATCTCACTTGGCGGTCTCGGTGGCTCTGAAGTACAGGTCGTCGGGAGCGTCCATCCACGAGATCACGTGACGGCGCCCGCCGCGCCCGGTCAGGTTCGTCGGCTTGCCGTTCACCTACGAGTGAGATATAAAAATATAACATTATAATATGAGTGACGTCATACAGTGTCTAGTGTAATATGGAGTCTAGTACTGCGAGTTATACTCACGTGTGCAAAAACGTGTGCGGGCAGAGGTTGCCCCGTGGCCTGTGCCCGCGCGCACATGGCCGCGTACTGTTCGCGTGATGGCCGCTGCATGGGCGCCGGGTGCTTGTTGGGTCGCTTGGCGGGAGGCGCGCTGCCACCACAACCTCCTGGAAATGTACCGGATGTTTATGTAGCTTCCTGTTCAATCGTCCCCCTTCGAATACCCAAAGTCATTGGTGCCGCGTATGATGACCGATTTGTCAGTCGCCGGGCGAAAGTTTAAATAGATTCGCCCAATGACTGTGCGTAGAATTAAACACATGAAAAATAACATTCGATGGCTGCTGATGTAATAATAGCATTGAAATTATAATACATACGGTGATTGCTTCGTGAGAAATAATACAATAGAGACGCTCGTTGGTAAAATGTGAGGGTCATGGAAATTATATTATTTCTGCTCATTAAATCTCTAAGACATTTTTTTCAAATAATAAATTCTATGGTAATGCCTTAAGGATTCAATAAATACGAGTAACACTAAGGTATTTCTATAAATTAAATGAAAGTATGGAAATAAAACAAGAGATTAAAAAGACGACATCAAGTACGCACCGGTTCGGAAGACTGTTACCTCACACTATTAAATCCGAGGACTTCGCAATAAAATTAATTTAATATATGAAATTTGTTAGTTAAATGATTGAGGGGGAAATGAATGGACACGTGTGAAAAATATTTATTTTCATAAATGCTGTTTTGACTCCAAACCTGTTGCTACTCCGGTTATGAAAGCAGCACAAACAAAGAAATATCATTTCATAGGAATTATTCTCTTCACAAACCTTAAACATATACAGGTTTTGTGTTCCTGAGAAATATTATATGTGAGTTATGACAAATATGAATGTATTTATAAACTTATAACACTGTTGTACTGCAGGATGAAATATAAGAGAGAAAGGTAAGGAATAATGAAAGAGAAAATCATATTATTAAGAAAGAAAATTACGAAGAATAAAAGGATTGAGAAAGATTAGAGAAAGAAACGTGAGGCAGTCCAAGCGGTGACAGTACGAAGAACGAAGGAAACGAACATAAATAAAATATGCAGAAGAAGAAGAGCGGTAGCAACAAGGGTCTGTTTGTAGAGTGAGTGAGTGAGTGAGTGAGTGAGTGAGTGAGTGAGTGAGTGAGTGTGTTATGTACGTGAGGTTATCGATACTGACTGTCGAGGCCGTTGATGTCGTCGTAGGCGCGCCGCTTGAGGGCCGGCGCGGCCGCCTCGCTGCGACGCGCCTCCAGCTCCGCGCGGGACACCACGCGCTCGTACATGAGGCTGCCGTCTGCTCACACCACACGTTACACGTATATTAATAAAACTCAATAAATTCAATTCATACCAAAATGGAAATTATAAAATAAATTTGTTTATACGAGTGAACAGAGAACGAGTGACCAGAATTCATCTTAGCCGGTGTTATAACTAGGGCCCGAATAAATATGTATTAAAAAATCTAAAATATGTACATAAAATATGGACGAAAAAATCAAAAATATGGAAAAAATATGGAGTATAAAATAAAATACGATGTAAAAAATTTAAAAAACGATGAAAAAAATAGCGAAATATTTATTTCAACAAAAAATAACAGTTTTATTCAACTTCCATTACACTAGCCTTATCAAATTGCAATCCACAATGACGTGCTTCTTGAAATTATCAAAATGAAAAAACTGACCATTTGGTTGAAATACATATAGCCTTTTATCTGCTGAATGATCTCTCTACGTCACGTGACGTGATGGGTGCATACTTAAACATGCTTAATTCAGTAATTGTGTAAGTCATGTCTACAGCCCTTGAAACTTCCTCACAGATTTTTTAATTTTTGTAAGCGTATTAAATCCTTTATTTTTATCCAAAACATTAATGGCGGGAACGTAAATTTTATGTATTTTTGTGAATATATGGATGATTGTGACATTTTCTTGTAAAATATGGACTTAACTTTGAAATATGGTAAAATATGGAAAATAAAAGTTGGTTTTTCACAGTCTAAATATGACAATCCATGTAGAAAACACATTCTAAACCGAAAATCGCGTAAATTAAAAATATGTATTTACATATTAATCCGGGCCTTAGTTGTAACTAGTAGGAAATAAAAGATATGTCCTCACCTGGAGCCTTAGGCGGCTTGGGGAAGGCGACGTGGTTGGGTGTGGGCAGACGCTCGCGCGGGGTGAGGGTGAGCCAGTCCTGGGCGCGCGGCGCGGACGTGCCCAGTGCGGCGGCGAGGCGGGCCGCCACCGCGCCCACGGGCCCGCGAGCACGAGCGGCGCCGCGGACCTCCGCCCCGACCACGCCGCCCACACCGCCCACACCACCGACGCCGCCCGCCATCGCTATCGTACCTGATGGATCACATCATTAGTAACAGTAACAATTTTTTATTGAATATGATGTCATCGACAGTGTAAAGGATCCGTGTACAGTACTCACACTCGTGTTTGACCTGGTGCAGGTTGATGGGTGAGAAGGGCGAGCGCGCGTAGTGTCGCGGCCGGCGGAGCGCGCGGGCCAGGCGGCGCGCGAGCCGGGTGAAGGGCGAGGCTCGCAGGTAGAAGGCGGCGCGGGTCTTCATGACGGGCCGCGCGCCCTCGCCCGCGCCGCCGTGAGCGGTCGCCATGTGGCGGGCCAGGTGAGCGCGCAGCTTGAACTCCTGGACATTAAATATATCATTAAGAGACACGGGATGAAGTTGTGATGTTCAAATATATATGATAACAACTGTATTATAAGCATTAAAACAAAGTTCTTATTAATGTATGGATGGTATAGTACATCTTAAAGTATAGCTTAAATAAAGTACATATTAGCATGTTCTATACGATACCTTAGCACAGTTAACCACAGAACACCTGTGCGGTCTGTGTGACACGGACAATGCTGTGTCGTCACTCTCCGCCCGCGCCCCGCGCCCCGCCTCCGCCTCGCTCTCTCCGAACACTCCCGCCGTCTGAGTACGTATATTTATATATAAAGGGCACACTATTACTCCACATTGGTTCATGCTTACAATTGTTTTACCTTAAGTCCTCCATATTTCTTCCAGTACTGCCAGCAAGCTCCACACAATCTGTACTGTAAATGCTGTGGTCCCCAGGCGTACCACTGGGTTGAATTTGTCACTGAAATACGATATATTACATGAAATACATTCTTTTTTTCTTACATTTGATAGTTTTGGTTATAAGTATAAACTAATCACAGACATATACTGTAACATTAATTAACAAATTAAATGTACTTCAATCTATTTCTTATAAATGTATTGTTTTTACATCTACATGATAGTGTGATCTATAAAACTGTCATTTCAGTTTTTTTTAAACACAATACAGAACAACTACACCATATCTTAGGTTTCGTCCTAGTATTACAAGTCGTAAGGATATAAACAAATATCTTATATATTTAAATGAGCAATTCTTGTATATATGTATATAAAGATATAATTTGAATCTCGGAATCGGCTCCAATGATTTTCATGAAATTTAGCATATAGGGGGTGGCTTTCAGGGGCGATAAATCGATCTCGCTAGGAATCATTTTTAGAAAACGTTGTTTTAAGGAAAAAAAAAAACAAAAAGGAGGCGTTTAAAATATGACTCTTCCTGACATCTATTGGCGAATAGTAATACTACTTTTTGCTAATTGCTTTTAATAATTGTTTAACCCTTAACCACTTAAGTGAGTATTCTTAATAATTCTACTAGACCACTTGATATTTGGAATTTTTCTCTTATTTACAAATGAGATTTTGGACAAAATTTTACTATACACAAATAATGAAATAAGACTAATGAAATCAAAATACAATACGTATGATATAAAAAGGAAACACAAAACGGCTTACCTATGATTTGTATGTAAACTACCTATTTCTTTTGAATTTTTGTAAAAAATGTGTTGTTACTGCTGCGAAAAAATGTAAAAGTTGAGGCGTTGCAATTTTTTTTAATTTTTTTTGTTGTGTTTTTTTATCTTTTATTTTAAGTTTATTCAAATTAATAGAAATAAGAAAATAATATTAAATTGTAGTATTTTAGAATAAAGATCTCATGTTCTTAGTATAGTTAGTTATTTTAATTACTTTTGTTAATTTGTGACGCATAAATAAATCAATGAAGTAGAGCCATGTATTTTATTTAACTAAACATTAGTTTCTTATCATCTATGATGGGATCTATCCCAAAATAATCGCAGAAATTTATGAGCGGTCTCTGTGACTGCGCGTAGGTGGTTAAAGGACAAAAATAGGTGGACACAACAGCAGATGGCATTGCTAAGTAACAGAAAGTCATTGAGTGTTTGTTTTGAGATTAGACTAAGAAATTAATATTTGATTTATATTATTTTGTGTCTTCTTAAAAATGCCTTCACGAATTCTTAAATACCGAGCAAAGCTCGGTAATCAGATATTAAGTATTATAAACAAATATGGATTTTAGGGGAGGCCTATGTCCTGCAGTGGACGTCTTTCGATGATGATGATGTATTATCACAACTTTCATATCGAACACGAACACTATAGTTTACAATTCATAAGTCTGCGAGCATGATACTAACGTAGACTTATTAGTGATGGACTACAAACGCTCCTTGTATGGTGTTGAACATTAGGTAAGGTTGTATTTAGCATGTACCTTGACACGAGGCGCACATGGTGGGCGCAGCCGCCGTTCCGTTGGTGCCTCCGTTCAACACGGCTCCTTTATTAGCGACCCCGGCCGCAGCCCCCGGGCCTCCGCCCCCCGCTGTACCGCTCGTGATGGCCGCCGCGCCCGACAACAACGCTGGGTTCGGTTTGTTACTGCAATCATAATAATGTTTTAATACACGCCATCTATATATATTTGATAGAAATTTACTAATTTATAATATGACTTCGATTTGAAAAATTGATATCTATAAATCGTTATATCTCTATGAGTAGCACAAAAAGCAATGTAATAAATGAATATTGTAAACCAACCAAAAACTAAAACAAGAAACTGCTAGCAATTTTATTATTATAATAAGAAGCAGTATGAAGAACGTAAATCATATCAACTCAATGTAATAGCAACCCAAGTGTGTAACGTTAAGGTATAATGTCGTTTGTACAAACACTCACTAATTGGGAATGTACACTTGCTTCAGCTTGGACTCTGCCTCCACAGCCTTCACCCGTTTCTGTTGCACGTAGCGATCCGTCGTCTTCCACATGTAGTAGTATTCTACTAGATTCTTCAAAGTCTTCCACGGCAACTGGAATATTGGGATAGAAACATTTAACAAACTATACACTTAAAATTTTCTTCAAGTAATGTTACATGAAAATATGTAAAATGTTTTTTGGGTCCAGTGAAACGCAGTGAATCACAGACAATAGATTCATCAATACTATAAATTTTATACAATTGAATAACGAAAATTCGATTTTTACATAATAAAAAAACCTTTGTAAAAATCAGTAGCAGGAACTTTGTCTGATACCAACAAAGAAAGTGATTTAAATGATGTCAGTGATCATAATATGTACAATATACAAGTGAAACTTCTTTAAGGTTGCGTTAAACGTTTAACGCTAGAAAGGGAGGGGGAATAAAAAAAAACAGGCAGGCCGGGAGAGAATGTATGCTGCTCGAACGCATGTATGAAATCAATTGTGACTTGTAAGTAATGTAATAATGTTAATAAAGAAACACTATAATTTATTTTTTAAATTATTTTCTACCACTCCCTGTTTCATTTCAATATTCCGAATTTTGTCTTATTCCTCACATATCGACTCCACTCACTTTCTTTTAAATTTTCATTGTATAACATAAATTTAGTACTACATAATTATAATTATAGTATAACTCACAAAGTCCTTCCGTACAAAATAGCACTTCAAGCCGAGTAGTTACAATTCAACACGTCCATCAACATATATATGCTTGTAGTAACTCACAAAGTCCTTCCGTACATCAGCGAAGTCCTTCCCGTATTTCTCGAGCGCCTCCTCAAACAGGTTGGCTTCCGAGGCGGACCACTCCTCCATCTCGTCTCGACACAGCACGGGCCCGGAGGCGGGCACTAGCGAGGACAGCGCCGCCTCTATGCTGTACCCAGACTTGTGGAGAGTGTCCATGGCGTGGAACTGGAAAATATAAATTTGTATGAGACTACTATGGAATAAACAGAGATTATTAAGCACTAGCTACGCCCCGCAGATTTCCGAGATGTAAAGTAGCATATGTGTTATTCCTGGACGTCAGCTTCCTGTATACAAAATTATATCAAAATCGGTTCAGTCGTTTGAGCGTGAAGAAGTAAGAAACATACACATACTCATAAACTTTCGCAATTATAATATTAGTAGGATTGAGGACTACATTTATTGTAAGTATTAGAATGTTGATACTAATTTCATATTGTTTTAGTTAAATATAAAAAAAAATTGTTTTGTCCCTCTTTTTTATTGAATTTATATTCATCTTGATGTTTTTCATATAATTCTGTAGGTAGATGTATTTTCGTTGCACTTGTATGGGTTGGTTCTTATGAAGCAGTTGGTAGCCATATATTTGTGATTCTTGATGACGAATGTTTGTGTTATATTTGGAATTTTAATTTATATAAATCATATTTTATATTATATTAATGATTAAATTAAAGTATAATTATTTCTCTTTAAAGTCTTGGTGTGTGGACGAAGCATTATTATTTAAGCAGTCCATTGTTCAGACTAAAAAAAATGATCTGTTTGACTATATGTGACTTTTATATAAAGTCACATATAGTTTTAACTTTAATTAACTTGTTAATCTTTACCACTACAAATATTTTTCTACTTTTGTTTTATATCCAAATATTACTTTCAGCCATTAAACTTTCACTGCACACCACTTTAAACTATTTGTACTATGCTTTTGTACGTCCTATTTACTCATATATATAATATATAATAGTCCGTACAAGAGTGATGTCCCTGCTGGCGGCCGCCGCGGACATGTGTAGCGAGGGCTGTTTAACACTGGAGCTACAGTCCAATGCCCTGGCGAAGGTGCCCACAGACCGAGCCACCACAAGGAACTGGTCGATCTGCCGGTCTGAGAGGCCGTGGGACGGAGTCCACACCAGGGTCTCCAACGAACTCGAACTGCGGCCGTCCTCCTCGCCTGGAAATTAATTAACAACAATCAGTATAGTATAGTTAAATCGATGTGAAAAGTTGTTTGTTACACATTAACTGGAAATGCTACATGCTGTATATAAAAGCACAAAAATAAGAGAGATGTTTTAATATAATGTCGGAGTCTTTTAATCTTAGTATTTTACTGAATTCATGTTACTTTCATCATAAGCAATACTTTAAACTAAAGCTCCACTATTACTGATAACAGAGTGGAACATGTCAAAAAGCGCCTTTGTGTTCTTATATAAGTACACAAATTCGAACGCAGTAGCAAGCAAAAACTATCTTATGCATACATATATGTTTATATTTAATATATGTATAAAATGTATGTATATAAACAAATGGTCTCACCTTCTTTTAATAAATTAGTTACTTCAGTCTGATATTTACTTCCAACTCTGATTTCTCCCTTATCTGCTAATAAAGTCTTTTGTGAAGGATCAAATACTAAACAATAAAAAAATGCGTCCTGAAACAAAAACAAAAAAAAATTATATATAAATTTATTCAATAACTAAATTAATAAATATATCGAATATTTTTATTATTAATATTTGATATTAAATATTTTAAATATATGTATAGTACAACATAAGTTAGCATTGTCATTACGTATTATCAAAAATCACACATCAGTATGCTTAGCACGAGTTTGCATCGTCACTCACACTACATACAGGGCGTTTCACGTTTCACATTCAATACACAACGTTAATACTACAATGTAGGAAGATTTATGAATGGAAAACTATTTCAGCTTCGTATTGTGACTATGCACGCTCAGACTACGCGTACCGGAGTGTATTGGTATAGGAGTAACTTTATTTTAAATCGTAAGTTACTAATAGTACTTCGATTTTGAAAAACGATGACGTCATATAGACTAAGTTTTATTTTAAAAAATATATAAATTACACCAAAATTATATTGATAGAAGGCTAAAATTAAAACTTATTAATAATTAATGAACGTAAAAAAAAACGTATACTGAATTTTTATATACATTTCAAGGTCGCATATCGAAAAAAGAAAAGCAAGGCCAAATTACATATGTGTATATATTTTAAATTATAATTAATATGTATAAAATTCCCTTTTAATAAAATGTTAAAGGAAACTTGTTCTTTTATATATTATATTACATATATTTCGGTACATTGAATCCCATATACGTATATGTTTATTATATGTGGTTTATTAATAATATTATATGTACAATACATACAGCTAACAGGAAGTCGGTCCAGCGACACGAGATAGTCAAGTGCATGTCCATTTCCTCGTTAGTTTATTTGTATTATAATAATTTGATTGTTTACCTCGAGCCGTTAAATACGTTTATAGCAAAGTACATGTTATTGTAACCCTATAATACAATAAGGAAATTTTTCTATGTAATATCAAATTGCGTTCGGTGACCTGATAGTTTAAATAAAAAAAATCAGAATAAAACCTTTTTTGTGCACAAACGAAAATTAAAAAAAAAATAATACCCAGTGACGTCACAGGTCCTATCCTCGTAGGTAGGTGTGTGAGGTCATCGCCCCCGGGTCTACATACATACTCACATCCTTATTGAGATAGCTGAGCAGCGACTCCGTCTCGTTGAGCAGCGTGACGGTGCACTTGCCGCGGATGTGCGTGGCCGGGAGCGTCTCCACGTGCCGCGACAGGAACAGCTCGCGCTGCTTGGCCTGGTGCCGCTGTTTGGGCGCGAGCCCGTCCGAACCGGGCAGCTCCGTAGATTCCTCCTCCATTGCCACTGGAACCATCACACAAATGCGATTTTAGTACAATTTATGACGTCACAAAGTGATGAATTTTTATTCCAAATTTAAATTTATGTTAATAATGAAGACTAGATATTTGTACTTATTTATTTTCGGGCGGAGATGCATCGGTGTCTAGCTTATACATATTATTATGTTTATCAAAAAACCAAAAGATTAGATCCATCCTATAACATTTATAAAATAATACTTCTCGATAACTTAAAAGCTTCATTATCATTAAAACTCTACAGTGATATAAACCAACAATTAAATACTTTATTATTTATTATTATTCATGATGGTTAAATAATCGTGTGGTAACTATTTATTGTATAATTTGATTTTGAAGACATTTCACTGGTGGTTTCGGGGATCAAAAGTAGATTGTATACTTTCGTTACAGCGATATCAGTAAAACAAGTTTAACCCAGACAGGAGAGAACAATAATGTATATATCTACCATATATATAATTTTACTATTCCTACTACTAAAGATGCAGGTAAGTATGTATGTTTGTCACTATTTAACACAAAAACTACTGAGTGGAATTTGATGAAACTTCACAATAATATAGCTATAATATCAGAATAACACATAGGCTTATTTATTCTAGAATCCCATGTAGTAGTATTGTGTTTTATGTCAACTTATAAATACTATAGGTGTCGCCGACACTTTGTTTATATCTATTGTTTTAAAACACTATACATCTTTCTGTGAACGCAAAACTCTGACGTTAAGTCGCTAAAGTCGCGTAAAAAAATTAGTTACTAATAAAAGACAGCGTACTGAGAAATGGCGGGAAATATGTGCGTGAGTATAAAGACACAAGTTGGAAATAAAATTTTATATGATACTACAGAAGAGATGTCATTCAGCTTTGCTTAAAAATTTTGGAGAAGAAAATATTTACTTATAGTTATGGGGATCTTGAAACCCTTGCTTCCTTAAATATTTTCGAGTTTGAAGTCTTTATTGTATAACTTATAATTAAAAAAAAACGTAGGTACTTTCTCTCGATATTAGTAAAAAAAAATCATTTTAACACAACATAATACACTTATACAATATATAATAAATACAAAGTAAATATGTATATTTTAGCAATGAACTATTTTATAGACGAAGCTATGTTGATTATACTAATTGAAAGTTTAATAAACAATAAGCATTTCCTTTTGTATAACATCGGACCACACCTAGTATATTAAAAATTCAATGCTCTAAATAAAAGTTACTAGTTCTCTGAAGTATCCGCCTGTTCTTTTACTAGCGAAGTAATTTTCACACATTGGCTAGTGATGGTATATTGATGTAGGTAATTCGAAGTATATTTTGATCTTGTGGACTAATTTTCGCCATAAAAATCTTCGTCATATAAAGTCGGGTGAATATATATAATTTATTTAAAGATCACATGTACTTATAGTACATCGTACTCATGTCTTATGACAATGGTGAATGGAGACTTTCAGTAAAGACGAGATGCAGGCACTCTGTTTCTACTACCAATTCAATTACTAGAATTATTTCCTTAATATATTGTGATTAACTCAATATTAGTATCTAAACTGACCAATGTTTTAACATAAGATTTTCATAACGTTTTATTAAGATAGAGCCTAGCCGAGGTCAAGTCACTAAAGCCCGAACATGGTCTCGTTCGACCGGGGAAGTACCACCCTCTCACAGAATATAAGCGTGAATACAAATGTATTTATGTAAAACTAGGTTTAAAAAAAAACAATAATCTTCCTATAAGTTTTCTTACTTCGTTCGTCGTTGTTACTTTACACCAAAAGACACTAATTTCATTTTCTTATGAACAATTTTAATTAAATGTTAATTTAAACATCTGAAAAATATACACTATGAAAATAGTTACGTGTTGGGTTAAGAATTATTTATATATTTAAGGCAGTAAGATGTCTGTCGTATGTTCAAAGTCTCAGTAAGTTTCGGTAGTGTGTGATGGTAGCGGGCAGGTGTCGCCTCTCAGTGTTCTCGAGTCGACTTATAATTTTTATATGACAAGTCCCGCCATTACAACGCGTCGCTATCACAACATGTCCGACGCGTAATGAAAGGTAATACGAGATCGTTATTTCTATCATAGTTTTAACATCACGATACAAATATTTCCAAATGTATTATGTTTTTTAAATAACATTTTTATTTATTATTTAGCGTTAGTATTCAGACACAAGAGCATTTCAATTTTCATCCGACTATTATTTTAATTATTTAGATGAAAGCTCTGTTTAATGGGCGTGCTGAAGACGGTGCGATCATAATTATAATAAAAACGTGCTCTCACAACTACTGCTTCTAGAGTAATGAATAAAACTGCGACTTGTGAGGTACAAGGTACATCGGTTTATAGCCGTATCTGTGTTATAAAGACGGTTGTAGCGTTTATTATTGAATTAGGTCAGATACATATTTCATTCATTACGTTTTATTAAAAGTTGGCGATATCGAAGGACCGGTTTGAGATGGCTTTTGTGTGGTGACGCGGCGCGTGCGGTCCGAGGGGGCCCCGGGGCTCGGCGGAGGGGGGGGGGGGGGCGACCCGGCCGGGGGTGATGCCGGCTACTTATTATTAACATAACCGCCCAGACACCTCGCTAATAAACTAGCTAATTGATAACGACTACCCGTACTTGAGACGTTATGTCACAGTTCAATGTTTCCTGGATATTGGAACAACTAATAAGATGAACGTAGATATACATGAGATTTGAAGTTCATCACAATTATAACAAGACATCCAAATCAGGCAGCGAATTATTCAAAAGAGTCAAAGCTCATTTAGCTGAGTAGGAGACGGAATAAATATAAAAGATATATTGTACATTTAGCTAGGATTGGATTCAGTAAGCCCATTATTGGCATTAGTATAAGAGGGGGAGTGTAGCAAAAAGATTGGATGTTGAGGCAAGCGGAGCATTAATTCCAATAGCAATACTTGCTACAATGCTATTCAGAAACTGAAAAACGTATACATCTTTCTCACTCGCTAGGGAATGAGTCGTGGCTCCAAAAGCGTGCTGTTTAATATAAAAACGTAATGGACTTGTATTTATCGATTACGCTTAGCAATTTTTTGGGATAACCATTGTTTGTTTAGGTTAACGAAATATTAAGAAAAACTTAAAGCAGTGATTTGTAAAAATCGGAAGGATTTCATTGTATAGAGTTCTCGTAGGTAAGAAAGCTAGCGTGTGAGACCTTTGTAGTTCCATGTAAACCTAATATTAATGTAATAGAAATCACTTTGGTTTAATTAAACATAGTGTTCTGATTATTAAAGTATGTTACATTATAATTATTAGTTTTGTTTTCTTCGTACAGAATCCAAATACAATTAGTGTTGGAGTAGATATTGATAATATTAAACGTATCGATTTATCTTTAAAATTAAATAAAAATGAATGTATTTTTTAAAACTATATCAAGCGAATATTCTAGAATTAATTCCCGTTTAAGCCGATGGATATTAAAATTTTAATATGTAGGACATCTAAAAGTTTGTAATGAGAGTCGCGGTAAAATGATAGTTTTGGGCAAAACGAAGTATATATGATAATGTTTGTTTCCTAGCGTATTCTTTGTAATATCTTAGCCGCTGTAAGTGTAACGGTATTTATAAAATGTCGTCTTGTTTGTGACATTCTTAGAAGCAAGCAAGCAGGCTGTATGTGGAATCACGACGAGGCTCGCCTCTAGAGTATAGCTCATGAATATTAAAGAATCTGTTTTAATGTTAACATCTCTCTGAATTATAGATATTTGTTTTTATGTACTGATATTAAACACTACACACGTTATATGTATTTTTTTCGTAATGTTAGTATAAGTAATTTGAGACGAAATCTTCTCAGCATTCCACGGATTTAACGTGCGAGTGCAGGGTCCAGTGCAATTATTTAATTACTATATATGCATGTACGTGTTATTTTTCTGTTATATAGTTGAGATATCGTAGTTGGTTTTGAAATCCTAGTTTGTTTAATATCAATCAGTTTAAGTGTTTCAGGTGAGACGAATCTTGATTATCATTTGTTGTTTTGGTCAAAGTCAAGACATGGTTTTATAGAAGAGGACTTAAACAAGCTCAGTCACCATTCCTACCACCATACATTGGTTTTATTCTGTTCTCTGACAATGCGTGAGCTTTGTTTGAACTCTATCAAGTATCAAAGTTTAGATAGCATTAACTCAAGAGTCCGTTGTGTGGTTAAGTCAAGGTAATTACAATGTTTTGGTAATTTTAATAACTCTGGATTATGGATCCACACGCGTCACTACGCAACTAATTAAAGCGTAGGCAAAGAGAAAATGGCAATCTGTGGAGTCCCCCCGGGTGGTGGTGGGGGGAGGGGTCGGTTACGTGTGCCCCGGCCGGGGTGGTCGGGTGTATGGTTTTTCTGCTCGGGCATCCTTTGCTTACTTATTGATCCAGTCAAATGTGTGGAGGTGGCGCGGTGGGTGGCGTCCCCCCCGCGACCCGCGCCCCTCAAGGGGCTACGTCCAAATAAATCTGCCCGGCCGCGAAACACCGCAATGACAACAGCGGCCGGCGGTAAGACGCGGCCGCGGTCTCCTTCCGTGGTTCACGAGCGGGCCCGGAGGCTGGCAGCGAGCGCGTCTCCTGTCCGCTCCTACCCGGGACCCTCTCCGTTTATAATCCACGAATTGTAACCATTTTAATTGAAATCATTACCATCGGAAGGCAGCGTCGGGCGCGACCTTAGAACACAGGCATGCGCGCGACCGCCGATGGTACCCGGTGGTAAATCGAGACGCTCCTGATATTTTCCTAGGGGTCAATGACTTACATTATTTAAATACATGATACAGGTCTGCGCTGTACCGCTCCGATAGACTACGTTATTTAATGTTACAATTCGACACATCTATTATTTGAAATAATGTACTAACATTTTTATATTACATACTCTAACATATATACGCTACTTTTAATTATAAAGAACAATACTGATACAAATGTTTTTCTGTTATAAAACAAACGTTTAAAAAAAAGCAATTACTTATGAAAAGCATTTAGTAATTACTAAATTTCGTTACAAATGGACATTGGATATTTTGTTAATTTGTTTCAATCGATTTTATTACAATTATCTTTAAAAATATTTTCATAAAAACTGAATCAATCTACAATAGATATAATTACAAACAAACCTTTATAAGTAAGTTTTTCTTATACTCATTCTAATATTATTATTGCTTAAACCAGTCTCTTATCTTGGGCTGAACCGATTGAAGTAAAATTTTGTCATAAAGATAGTTAGTATTCACGAGAAATACGTTACATACTTAGTACTCTCAATTGTTACGAGTGTTATAAGTATGCAAATAATTCTATATATATATATATATATATATATATATATATATATGTGTATATATGTTAAAGAAGTAATTTTGAATATATTTAGATTTATATATATCCATGTACATTACCCACGATAACCGGTAACGGTATCAGTCTGTATAATAATTTTAACACGATTCGCTGACTCCGTATTGACTTTATACAATTTTTAAATGTATAATGAATATTTTTAAAATTCAAAACGAAAATTTACTATCAAGTTGACTGTTACGAAAATATCTCGCGAGAAAAATTACTTAAAGTAAAAAACGTTACAAGTTATGTATTTAGACTGATAGTAGTGATACATTTAATAAGTTTAAATTAACGAGTTTCGTAAATATAAACTGTAGTTCTTACCACTAGTTTGTGTAGACAAACTGAATACACAGAGTTTTAAGTTTTTCATTAGTATACCTAATTTGATACAAGGTGCAAAGCTTTGTAATGAATAGTAGAGACTGAATGTTTGACGGTTCGAACTCATAGTACTTATAAAGGTATAGATGTTTTAAGAGAATTAAGAAGAAAAAAAATACAAGGGCTATAAAACTATTAAAATAATAATTATATTTTGAACATTACATAAAAACGTCGACATTATTATATAGAAAACGTAATTTAAATTATTAACACTAAAAAAAGTATATGATTTTGAGGAGCCCAATTGTATCAGTACATACATATATTCACTGACATACTCATCATACAGATACATAATATTCATTTTCTTAAAAAAAAAATCAATAGTCTAGAAATTATTTTTTTACCGCGTTCCAAACTGTGTGGAAAAAAGATATTTCAAATTATTGTGAAAATACTACATATAGTCAACAGCCTATCAGAGCCCACTGCTGAGCAAAGGCCTCTTTCTCACATGGAGAAGACTTGAGCATTCATCACCACGCTTGCTCAAGACGGGTTTGTGATTTCAAACTTATAATTGTGAAATTGCGTCCAGGTTTCCTCACGATGTTTTCCTTCACCGTATGTCAGTGATGTCTAAATAATCTCAGAAAGTACATATGACTCTGAAAAATCACATTGGTACTTGACAGGATCGCACCCGCGCCCTCGTGCATGAGAAGCGGGCCTTTAACCACTAGGCCACCACTGATTTAGAGTGGAAATACTAGTATTTAAATAAAATAATACATATAAGAATTACTGTCTTTTAAATCCCTTTTTTTATTTGTATTTATAAACAAATCATCAATATTTCAATACTCAAATCAAAAAAGAGGTGTTATAAATTTAATTTCGATGCATTCGTGTGTTTGTTTAGGGCATCGTAGGTCTCGAACAAAGCGACCGATTTTAATGCGGTTCCTTCTTCTTACAGACAATTTCTACGGTAGTTCTTAATTCAGTTTTATTAATATCGGTTCAGTAGTGTACGATTATCATCAGTTTTTAAACTGTAAAGCAGTTTTGTCATATGATTACACGAGTGCCAATATAATTGCTAAATAATACTTAATTCTCGGAGGGCATATTTCAAATCAAAAATAAGTTACCATGGCTTCGATGAATTTTAATTCATAGACACAGAATTTGAAGAAATTTACTATTATAACTATGTATGTTGTAGACCTAAAAATGCACTTGCAGTTAGACCTCACTTAGAAAAACCGCTACTCTAGCAATATGGGTCACAATAAAAAATCTTATTGATGATTCGTGAAAGACAAAATCAATTAAAATAAATCTAATATTTTTCGGATTTCAGGAGTCATGATTCTGATCTCGTCTGCCCATGAACACGGTTGCTGCAAAATAACCGAAACGTCGTGAATACCGACTAAACCCGTAATAAAACCACAAAAAAAAAGTTCAAATTCAATGAATAGTCGCCAAAATCTCATTAAACTTAATGAGGATTTCATAGATATTTACAGGCGTCATGAATTCATCATATGGTTCAAACATTAAAACTCATTATATACTGAGAAAGATGCTCATATTAGTTAGACGTTACAATCATATTTGTCTCACACACACACATATGTGTATAATATATATAAACTATGATTATACTAAGTATATAGTCCCCATATAGTATAAAGTAATTTTTAATAAAGACCACATTAAAACTATTTCATGAAATTAACCTCATTTACAATGAAATTAATGATGTGGCATTTAAATTTTATGCTAAAACTCTCAATTGTTACACATTAATGATTGTAACATTAAAATATATGAGAAGGCATCGTATTCATATATGATTATTAGTAACCTTTTAAGATGGTTACAAGAAGTTTCAGTATATATATAGAAAGACTAGCTTTCCACCCGCAGCTTCGCCCGCGTGAAGTTCGGTTATATCACGTTTCCAAGAGAAAAAGTTCCTTTCAAGTCTGGGACATAAACTATCCTATGTTTTTTCTCAAGGTCAACTCTGTCTCTGTACCAAATTTCATTAAAATCAGTTCAGTGGTTTAGGCGTGAAAGCGTAACAGACAGACAGACAGAGTTACTTTCGCATTTATAATATTAGTAGGGATTATATGACAATGACTCACGCTCTGTTAAAGTGTTAACCAATAAATATCTGCACAAATATTAATATATATAAACTAGTTATCGCCCCCTACTTCGTCCGTTTTAAATTTGGAGTTGGCATCGTAGACACATGTATAGTGTTTAAAACAACGGATATGGGACTTAGCGGTGGTGACATCTACAGTCTTTGTCACGAGACTTCATAAACAATACAACTGTTTCGACGCCATCCCGCGTTATCAAGGACTTAAAAGATAAATTATAACCTACATCTTATTCTTATGTCCAAGCTACATAACTGGAAAGTTTAATCAAAATCTGTCAAAAAGATTTTATTCGAATGATCGACAGACATTCATACATCCTCATAAAATAGTGCATACATAATATGGCGAATTGAATATTAATATTTGTAAAGTGGAATATAATTATTATTAATACAAGGAAAGCGATTCAATTAAAGGGACATAAGTATATAAAAATTAAAAAAAAAGACGTAGAAAGCTTTGTCAATGAAGGTTTTTCAATGCATATAATAGCAGTATAGTTTCAAAAAAATTTAATACAAATTTTCTATTATACTAAACTACTTATCAATGACTTCTCAATTACTATACCACAAGCTTAGCAGAAAGCTTAGTTCCATATCTCTTCTATGCTTCTATAGTAGTTACAGAGTTAAAAATTAATTCCCAAATGAATATAACAAAAACAAAAGAGCAACGAATGAGAACACAGAGTACTCATGAATATCTAGTCTTGAAATAAATTGTAATAAACAAAAACCCGTGAAAGCCTGTTCAGGGTTCCGCGGACTCGCTTTGTGTACAATACTTATTCTGTACAAACTATTATTACAGTATACATAGTTCTGTTGTGTTTTGTGTTTATTTTTTTCTATTATATATTTCTATTCACAATCATCGTTACATTACGATTGTTCTGCTTGATGTTATTGTTACCAACTAAATAAATGTCGATAGTGTATTATAATCAAGAGTGATCATAACTATTATCAGTATATGGAATATATTTCACGTCAGTGTATTCTAGATATTTCTATACAGCGTCGATCTCGTCTGTACCTAATGATACGTTTTGTTTTTGGTTGCAGTAGCATTTATTAAATATAATTGGTCGATCCATCGCGAGGTATGCATATTGATGTATCATCGACATGACTATGAGATCATTTCCCCAATTCTAATGTGTAGTGTGTGTTGTATGTAGTTCGTTGGTTAGTGTCAGCGGGCGGCGGCGGCGGCGCGGGCGGCGGGGGGGGGGGGGGGGGGGGCGGCCGCGCGGAAGGAATGCGTCGTTTTCGCATCGGGAGAAACGAATGCGTTTAAGCGTCGCGGTACACAATGGCGGCGTGACGAGATCCGGTTCGCGGGCGACTGAGGGGTGAGGAGGGGGCTACACGGCGGCCCGGGGGCGGAGGGGCAGGGGGTGCTCTAATCGATAGCCGGCAAGCGACGGCCGGGCGACTGTGGCGCATAGGTGACAGCTCGGGCCCAATCAAATTACCGCCGGTGGAGGAGAGCTGCAGTAACACGCACACTGGAGAAACACAAGCCGGCCGCGGCCCGCGACCCGCGACCCCGGCCTCGGGCCCCGGACCCGGGCGGCTGTGTCCCGTGGATGGTGCGGCATCGCCTGTGTCCTGGGAACGCTTCCTCGGACGACCCGCTGTACCTTTCATGATATAAACATCGGGGAAGAAATTTCCTGACATGTTATTAAAATCTCATTCCACGGATCTCGCCAAGACGGTAAACAACATTTCCGAGAAATCGATCTATTCTATTTTAAGGGAACAAACCATAAACAGCCCTTGTTTAAATCGAATTACTTTTTCAATTTCCTTTTGTAGTAGATGCAGACACGGGCCACTATTATCTGATGCATCACAGCATACACGTCGTCTGCCCGCACACCTACCACCTCGACCTCCTCCACAACACCCCCCCCCCCTCCCTCTCCGCCCCGCAGGTCCGCACCGGGCGGCCTCCCCCCCCCCCTAACCAACCCCGACCCACAACACATTGAAGGATAGACCTCACTTGGGCCGATATAGGTGCCTCCCTAAAACAGTGATTACGCATTTCTAATTAAATGTATTGATCAAAATATATCCGGTTAATTAATCGTTCGGGAATATTGAAACTAATGTTATACATGTAACATTCATACAACAAGCATAGTCCGTGCATCCCTTTAAAGGTAAATATCACGAATGTACGAGAACACAAACGGGGCAAATATGGTTTATTGAAAATGCAGAAAAATAATTACGATAAGGATGACAAAAAACATGACACACTCTAACATTCTTTAACACAAACACACACACACACACACACACACACACACACACACACACACACACACACACACACACACACAATATGTCAATCCGAGACGATTCGTCAATGTCATAACTGTCACTAAGTGTTAAACATAATGACATTGCTATTCAACAATAAAATGTAGAATTAACAAAGAATATATGGTCAAACTTAATTTGGCGATATAAAATATAAGCTCAGTTGAAAACTTTTAATTGCTTTGCTTTTTCTTAGTATCGCCCTATATGAGCTCCGAATTTGTATTGTATATTGAGTATTGAATTTGAATTAACTATTGTATTAACGCAGGTAATTGATATCTTAATATTATCCTAACAATTGTCAGTGCAAAGTACTCAATGGACTGTACATATCATATTCCAAATACATATTATATTGAAAAAAAAATATACATATTTTAAATATTCTATACTCAGTAATAAATCCATAAACAAAATAATTGTCTCATCTTTTTGTTCCAATTTATTTGATCGTGGAAAGTTAAAACCATAACTCTATAATCTATGGTTAGATGAAATGCATAAATTGCAATACAAGTGTCTTGAAACGTGTCACAGTTTAAACGAATAAGTCAAAAACAATGCCACAGATTAAAAAAATATTAATAATTATGTCACAGATTAAACTAATATATTATAGAGTATGTAAAGTATTTCCTTACAATCATGACATGCGCCACCTAGTACCCACAGCCGAGGATTTAGTTAACGCGCATCTAATTATAGGTTATTCCTCTCGCGTACCACGCCACAGATATACTTCATACGATCAAGGGCCGGCTAAGGATTATTTTACATAATATATCTTCTATATATATAAAAATGGATTGCTGTTCCTTAGTCTCGCTAAAACTCGAGAACAGCTGAACGGATTTATCTTATCTTAGTCTTGAAATGTTCGTGGAGGTTCAGGGAAGGTATAAAAGGTGAGAAAAATTGGAATAATTGCCGGGAAAACCCTAAAAACAGCCCTTTTCTATTTCCCATACAAACGCTTTTTTTGACATTAGACTTGACAACTAACTAATATGTCAATCATTCTGTTTGATTGAAACAAGAAAAAACTTGATTATTTATGGCCTCTACGACGGAATAGAGTTCGCCTGGTCAGCTATACATATATTACTAATGACGAAACTAACGCGGACGAAGTCGCGGGCAAAACTAGTATATATATATATTATATAACACACCTATACTATATGCTTGGATCGCTTGAATGATATGACATCCATCACGAAGTCAAGAAACCTTCAATATCTGTACCAGTAACGACCTTGTAATCCCTACTAATATTATAAATGCGATAGTAACTCTGTCTGTCTGTCTGTTACCGTTTCACGCCTAAACCACTGAACTGAATTTAATGAAATTTGGTACAGAGATAGAGTTGACCTTGAGAAAGAAGGTAGGATATTTTTTATCCCAGACTTTTGAAAGGTTCTCTTGGAAACGCGATATAACTGAATTCCATGCGGGCGGAAATCTAGTATTTGGATAAATCGATCAAAATTTTAATTCACTTATACATTATGTATATGTGGTGTTATAAACATTTTTATAGTCATTTAATGAAGTGGCCTGCGCAATTAAATTGATGACATCATGGCCTATGTGATGTGTCTTAGTAGCTATAGGTAATAAGAGCACATTTCAATCAAGTGACGGCGAAGCGTCGGTAGCGTCGCGACGCTGTATAGGAACCGGACGTAAGCGGTAACCGCGGTATTAATCTATAATAATAAATTTTGAGTGTCTGTTTGTAGTATTAACATAAACCTCATTCATTAAATACATATGCAACACAAAATCGCATTTCTGTATGTCTGTCTGTTTGTTCCAGCTCTGAAATTACGGTACGGATTTTAACAGTACTTATACTGCCAGACAGCTGCTGTATAAAAGAATATAATTATTTCATTGATATTAATAATAAAAATAAACTAGTAACTCGTAGACAAAGTCGCGGTCACAGCTTGTGTTATATATAATATATATTTTATACATATTATTGTTATAACACCGTCACAGTCTCCGCCCAACCGTGATGGTAGCTTCACCTTTTGATACTATAATTAGGTATTATTTTCTAATTGCCCCCACATCATCGTCGTTCCAATATCATAATACATGTACAGTCTATAATGTGTCTTATTCTCACCTATCGCTGGGTCTAGAACAGCCTGCGCCGCTTGCTCTTCACCTATGGGCGTCTTGAGGCATATTTTCTTGAGTTTCATAGCGACCGGTGAATCCTCGGACTGGGCAACTGTAAAAAGATGTCTTATTAATGGAATACATTTTATCATATTTAAGAATTATTAGAATTTATTGCATTAGAAAGTAAATATCATCTAATAAACTATTATAAATTAATCATCAATACGAAATGAAGACAACAGCTGATTCATAAAATGCATTTCAAGTTGTGGTTTTCCAAAGTTAAATCCTACAAGCGGTACTAAGATTATTGGGTATCAACTCGTTCTTGAGCAGTGCTCAGTGATAGTAACAGAATTGTACGACCAACAAAAGATATGTTACATACTTTAAGTATGAATTATTTAGTTATTTTTATTATACAGGGTGACTGGTGAATTACTATCAATATTTAAGGAGAATACTCGGTACATGATTCTCATTCGGATTATATAAAAAAAATAGGTACTTAATTTTTGACCAAATTTCTGTATAAATAAATAATGTGTGGACACGTTCCAAGTGTTCCAAGTGTGGACGCGTGCGGCGGCGTGCTGATACAACACAACACCGCCGCACGCGTATGTGTGTGTGTGTGTGTATACCTAATCTGTAGGGTGTTCACACGATGCGTAATTAATTACATAACTTTTGGTTAACTTTACTTAGAAGTTTATTAATATTTATGTTATATTAATTTTTATTTCGTCATATATGATCGTCAAATATGACGTCCTCAAATATCGATAGTAATTCACCAGTCACCCTGTATATATACATATCTATGTATTAATGTATATCGTTGGTTATCCTTGAATCGTGTCCTTGGCGCGTGTTTCGTCTGCGACCTTGCTGATAGGCCTCCGGGTCACGACTTACGTACGAGGGAGGGACTCACTTACTATACACGAGGCTGATTGATTACACAGACAATCCATTATAGGCTATAATAGCCTCTGATATAAAACTATATATATAAAGATACCTATCTCTATTATAATAATTCGTTAGTCATATCGCACTCAAAGTCGAACGGTCTTACTATGAGTCTCGATCGTCAAACTAAACGCTGACAGTTTCTAGTATATAATGGAACATAACCTTATGAATTTAATTTCATTACGCTGACTCATGGTAAGGGTGCCCAAACAATACCTTTGCTCAGTAATTAACGCGATCATACTCATCGTAGAAGTCTCCATATCAGGAACAAACTAATACATTCTATAATAAAATATATATTAAAGTATGTATTATATATTACAGTATAGTCACACACACACACACACATACACACAGTCCCCGACCTTGAGGTGAGAACTTCGTCTAAAGTATTGGGTCGCGGCCACACTCGAGGACAGGAATACTCCTATGACATTTTACAACTAAACTTTATCTACTGGCTCAGCTTTCGCTTAATATGTTATTGGACATGTACTTTATGAGAGACAAAGTGTTTGGAAATATACGTTATAATAATCGAATACACAATTTTTTTTCCTCTTCAGAAAACGCGGTAAATTCTGGGTAAAACAGTATTTGCCTTAGGTTTTAAATAACAAATATAATAATATTTTTTTATGTTGATATATTTTTAGTAACCAAAATGAAAAGTAAATCTAAAGAATCTAAATAATAAAATATTGATTATTATCCATAAATCGCGATTCAATACGTAGTATGTTTTACACACTTTAAAAAATGTCTTTAACAAAATATCCGTGTCCAATATATAATAAAAGGCTCGTGTTACTTTTATAGGAATCTGGTTCACGGTCACCGGGAATGGAAGGAGGCCAAAAGGTTCCGCGATGGATCGGGGAAAGTTGGCTCACGAGACGGAGACGGGGTTCGTTTTCATTGGGATACCGCCCCACTGAGACGGCACGTAACTTGGTCGACAGCGAGTATTGTGGCTTGACTAAAAACAATAATCAATATTCATTAAGTAATTAGGGGCGGATTTGGTTAGCTTTGATGTTACAAGTTATATATATGGAACATCTTATAAGCATGACGACTGCATGTAGCTTTGATGTGAGATGAGTTTTACAAAACGCTGTCATTAACCAAAGTCTTTTATAACGTGTGTAATGTATTCACGGCGTGTGGTGTCGCTAGTGTGTCGCGGCCCGCGGTTGTCAGCCGGCGATACACTACACAGTACACGGGCAGGTGCAAGGTGCACGCTGCGCCGGGAGGCTGTCACCCTCCCCCCGGCCGCCGTCACCCCCCGCACCCACCACCCCCGGCCCCCGCACGCCATCTTAACAAATCGATAGGATATGACTGTTCTCAACTTCGCGAGCACGACATTTGGGCGCGGACCGAATGACCCCCCGCCTACCCTCCGCCTCCTCTCATTTGATTACGTAACGACAATAATAAACAAATGTTTAATATAAATTATCTTTTATTATATCTGAGATAAAAATAATCAACACATCGAGGTAATGGATATTTCATGATCTTTACGTGTGATGTTTTTATACCGTAGCATATATTACGAGAACAGTAGGTACTCAATGAAGGCTGCTGTATATATTCTATCATAGTCTACATTAATAATTTATATGTATAGAATGCAGTTATTAACACTAAATTTCACTGTTCATATGTATGTATGTGAGAGGCATGTATAAAACATCAGCTCACGTCGTTCACCGCAGGGCGGAGGTCGCGGGACGGAGGGCGAGGGCGGTTCCTCTGCTTGTATTTATTAAAATATTCATGGCCGCTAATGACACGTCACATGATGCCGTATCAAACTCCTCCAGATACAAGCACAGCCGTGGCTCGGTGTATGTCAATACAAACTCCGTACAAACTAATCAAATCACCAACCAATCAAACAATTCCATACATCCACAAAGTTTCCCTGTTATATAATTATTTTCTAGAGTATCGTCAATTTTTATTCCATCTACAACGTGAACTAGACACTCGAAATCTATAACTGGTACATACACAAAAAAAAACAAATATTTCATATTACCTTCTCTTCCCGTTTCATTTAAAAAATACGGGTTTTTTATTTTTATTTTTTTGTTAATATTCAAAATCTAAAAAGTAGAAACTGTATTGTGTACCGCCGTACATATTGTATTCCGGGAATACAATATTTTAGGAGTATCGAGTTAAATTTGTATTGTACGGAGAATTTCAGTTATCTTCATGAAATACACGCTCTTGGTCCTTGTAGGTATTTTAGGTATTGTATTTGAATAATGTTAGAAAAAATTGTTCAGCTTAATGAGATTATTTAAAATACTTTAACATTTTCGTTCTAAATAATTTCAAACAAACATGTCCTACTAACTGATCTACAAAATAGTTGAAGTCACATCACAATCGGATCAGCCTTTTCAAAGGTTACTATAATTTAAAAATATACATATATAACTATAACTTAGTCTTTGTGAAAACATAATAATTTTGATATACTTGTCAATCTAACTTCACTCTTAAGTCCCAATTGACCATAATTAAGGTAACACTGACTTCTTCAAATATGAATAATTTCATATAATATTAATTTATTGAATTATATATTAATTAATTATGTATCAAAATGAATGATCAAGTCGGACCAGCATCAGCTTCAATGTGAGCTCGTGAAAGTGATTGTAGCTGTCTCGCAAAATTTACACAACACGATCATTACTTTTAATAATATAAGAGAGGATTGCGTAAATATTGTAAAAACTATGCAACGTACAAAACTATACAATTAATAATAATTTTTTACTTGAACTATAATGAAAAACAAAACATTTTACTACTTATCTGCGATAGAATTAGTATGTAATGTTACATTTCGTCATATTTAATTAAAAAAATATATAATTATAAAATATGTACGTAAAATAAACTTGTTTATTTTTTTGTAAAAATTACAAGTATTTTTACATTCGTACCCTTAGTAGGTGATTTCATCGACTGAACACTGACTAAATTTCTTAACCACAAGATATTGAATACATTAGTTTTGTTCGATAACTGATGAACGTCCAAACTGCATGTGTTGAAGTGTCAGTCTCGAATAATATCTATAAGCAACCTAATATGTACGTCATGGATAAGATTATAGTGCACAATTTACGAGAATAATTACAACTAATGAACATATATAAGGTTAATATTATTTAAATAATAAAAAACCTGCTTTAATATTACAACACACATAATAGTATTGTTTATATAATGAGATCTAAGATTTTTGCGAGTATTCATTTAAATGAAACTAATATTTATAATACTACGCGACTTTTTTTTTTGATTATAAACTACATACTCCAGACGTTTCGGTTACTTTATGGCAACCGTGATCTCTGTAAAGTAACCGAAACATCGGAAGTATATAGTGTATAATCAAAAATAAAAATGCGTAGTAAATCCGAAAATATTATTTTCAGTTTTGTTTACAGTTGGTATCATAAGTAATATAAAATTCTCAATACTAAGTAAGTTACGTTAAAAATAGCATTTTAACCAACACCAATAAAGTAACAGAAATCGGTTATCCGAAAACAAACCTTATGTATATTACGAATAAAGTTTCCGAATAAGTAAAAAAAAATATTCAAACAATAGTAAGTAAGGAAAAATTCATTTAGATTATAAGCAATATTATGTAAGATTAAATACTGTATATACACAATGAAAATGATATATACATATTCATGTATTTGATAAAATATTAAATTTAATATTACTCAGACATTTTATTTTTCAAATCTCTGAAGATACGATTCATAAAACCTTGATTTCATAGAAAAAGGGAGAACTTCTTCAATTTTTTTTATTCAAAATGTAATAAAGTTTATATACCTACAGTATATAAAGATAAAATATTTGATTGCGTTCATAGTATTATAAAACTTTAAATTTTGACGTCTTCTTTCCTGTACTGTATCAGCGTATATAAAATTTTGTTTATTATTTTGACGAAGTTCGTAGTGTACAGTAATAATGGAAAATATTTAATGGAAAATTTTGTTCCAATACATAACTATTAATGGTAAGCATTAATTAAAAATTATAAATTTATATAATATCTCGTAGTGTATT